TAATATAACACACTATTATGCAATTACGGAAATTAGTTAAATATAAAATAAAAAAACGTGTTAAAATTAATGTTAATTAACAAAATAAATATAATAATTTAACTGAAAATTGTTTTATAGTATTTCGTCTTAAGATTTGCTTGACCAATTTGTATGTGGTTTTGCCCTCTTCGATAGTATTAACATGTCATTGCTAAAGAATAAGGAATTATATGAAAATCTTTTATTAATGACAATCATCTGTGTTCGAGGTCGGCTAATTATATATGTTTTTCAAAGCGGGAAATATATTATCCCAAATTATATTAACAATTTGTAATTATAAACAAGTTGAAACAAACACTGCAATTGGTTAACAAATATTGATACTAAAAAAATACAAAATAACGTTTGGTTCATAAAGGGTCAGTGAAAAAGGCTTCTTTGTAAAAAAAAATAAAGATATATAACTTTAAAACATGTTTAAATTTATTATTAAAATTTCTTTTTTTATAAGTGGGGTTCGTTCTAAATTAAAAGAAAAAACTTAAAAATCTTCTTCTTCTTCTTCTATATATATAAAAATGGATTGCTGTTCCTTAGTCTCGCTAAAACTCGAGAACGGCTGAACCGATTTGGCTAATTTTGGTCTTGAAATACTCATCGAAGTCCAGGGAAGGTTTAAAAGGTGAGAAAAATTGGAATAATTGCCGGGAAAACCCTAAAAACAGCCCTTTTCTATTTCCCATACAAACGTTATCTTTGACATTAGATTTGACATCTAACTAATATGTCAATCATTCTGTTCGATTGAAACAGGAAAAACCTGATTATTTATGGCCTCTAAGACGGAATAGAGTTCGCCTGGTCAGCTATACCTACATATATTACTCTTGACCAAACTAACGCGGACGAAGTCGCGGACAAAAACTAGTCTTAAATAAAAATTGAAATTGTTGAATAACATGATCGTAATATACATTGTATTACATAAATAAAAATACATAATTTATACAAATATTATACCGAAGGTCAGAGACCTTATTGTACAAGTTCTATTCGTTCTGTAATTTTTAATTAATAATACATATTCATGTTAAAATAACGCATGTCTGGTGTTGTATTCTGTTTCCAGTATTTAATAAAAAAAATCTTTTAATAAAAATTGTAAGTACGAGTTTGCACACTATAATACTGATAGTTTTAACGATTTCGTTCATAAATAGTCGACTAATATCATCATTATGAATAAAAAACTTGCAACTTTACGTCTTACTTTTACTAACCTTATAATTCTCTATACTAGCCTAAAATGAAAAAAGACAATATTAATTTTTGTAAAATATTTATTTGATATAAACAGAATATAAATATGTATTAAAATATAATGAATATTTCTACTATTTAATATTAGATATATTTTCATTTATGTTCAATATGCTATGTCACACTTATTTTCTTGCATTTGCTAACCTTATATACAGACGTTTTCAAATTTCACTCTACAAACCTATTTAAATAAAAACAAGATCATTCCATTTAATTATTATATTATTAAAAATATTATACGTTTAAAATTTTCCGCTCGGTCATTCATTTAAATAGTCAATGTACATATATTATATACGTCTTCATAAATAGTACTAATGGGTACAGTTATTTACAATAATATGTATGAACAATATTTTAGTGAACACGACTAACGGTGACACTTATTATGGAGTAACATCTAATATACGTTTGCTCTCTTTAATATTCCGTTAGAGAAATATACTCGCGGAAACATTTGTATTTTGTACAGATGTCATATGAGATAAATAGTAATAATATATAATAGGTACATTACAAAACATATCCTGTATTATGTTAAAATGTATCAAAAAACGATTTGTGTACAGCTAATGGATTTTTGTATATAAATCGAAATTTAATTTTAATACTTACATCTAGTTCGGAATACGATAAAAAAAAATATAAAGTCTATTTAAAATTTTCTACAATTTAATGTTTTCGTTTACGTTATGGTCTTAGGTTTTTTTTCTCAAACAATAATGTAGTAATTCGTATGCTATGCGCTTATACTTAAAATAATATGCACAAAGAAAAAGATTTTGCTGTTATTTTTAGCTGTATAATTTAAATAATCAAAACTTTGTATTCATTTTCTGTAAGTATATTTTTCTGAGGCCCATCATTGCTTTATTGATTCCTATATGGTAATGGATCAAAGATAGATATATGAATACCAAATATTATTTTTGCTCAATATTATAACAATCAAGTGTCAAATCTAAGTATTATTTTTGGTGACATTAACCCGCTCTAAGTTTTTCCTTATGACGTCAATAATATTTGCTCCGGTCACTTAAGTTTTGAAGATTGGTCGGCTAAAGACATGTTTACAATGTTTTGCTGTGAGAAGCATATAATAATTATACTATATTTATCTTGAGGATTGCTCGTAAAATATATTTGAATTAAAATCGAACGCAACTATGAATATATGTATATAATGTGTTATAAAAAATGACTCATCCCCGTCTTAGATTCCAAAATTTTAAGCTGTATTTCTTTGTAACAAATATCACTCTAACTATAAAAATTCAATTCTCCGTTTGTTATTTCAATACGTCCATATTATCTCAAGTGTTTATATCTGTTGAACCAACACCAAGATAAATATTAAATACTAGTTTTTGCCCGCGATTTCGACCGCGTTAGTTTCGTCATTTAATATATGCATAGCTGACCGGGCGAACTCTATTCCGTTTTAGAGGCCATTAATAATCAGGTTTCTCCTGTTTCAATCGAACAGAATGATTGACATATTAGTTAGTTGTCAAATCTAATGTCAAAGAAAACGTTTGTATGGGAAATAGAAAAGGGCTGTTTTTATGGTTTTCCCGGAAATTAATCAATTTTTTTCACCTTTTATACCTTCCCTGAACCTCCACGAACATTTCAAGACTAAGATAAGATAAATCCGTTCAGCTGTTCTCGAGTTTTAGCGAGACTAAGGAACAGCAATCCATTTTTATATATATAGAAGATATAAAATTTTGTCTGCTTTATATTAGGTTTTTCCGAAGAGTTGAGCGGGACTTAATTGATGGACAATCATATGGGCTGTTAAACGTCTTGTTAGACAAGTTAAAAAATATACGATCTCACTAAAAAAATATTATATACCTACCATTACAAAATGGCATCACTATAATACATTGACCGATTCATAACAGTTGTACTGTATCTAAGAATTTCGTTACTATTAGAATTTAGGTAATTTTTATTTTATTAGCTAATCATCAAATATACTTCAAACTTATGGAACCTTGGTACTGAGAACTGAATATAATAATGGGGTAAGTTAATTACGCTATGCTCTCATATTTTCAATACCAAAAAAATATATACAGTCGCGTCCGTGACCGACATGACATACGAAGTTTCTAATTTGTATTGTTCGAATACAAATGTAGTACATACGTGTATTTCAAACTTGTACATACCTATTATATGAGTGCTGTTTAAAGAAATACTTTAAAAATTGACACAATTGGAGTAATGGAGTTGTGATATCTTTAATGTCGATGGATCGTATGATGTATGTATAAAGTATGAGCGTCGACTACACGACTACACGGATACTGATAGCCTTATCAGTGGCAAGGCGACGACAGCATTATCTTGTTTGTTTTTTTTTTGTTATAATAAAATTCGATATTTAAATGTACAGACGAAGCGAGAAGTGTTCGTGATATTTCAATACTAAAAATATATCAGCCATAAGGGAAGTATACTAGTGAAAATTGTTAATTAAAGCATAGTTATGAATTTATTATGGCATTCAGCAGGTTGTTCGGAAATGTAGCTTAAATGGTTTGCAGTAAGGATGATTTTTCAATGTCGTGTGGGGTTTAGGAAGAGAAGTATGAAAAATTTTGAACGCAAAGAATTCATTTTCATTATGAATTATTTAAGGTGGTTGAGGAATGTCTTTGGCTTGTTGATTTATTTAGTGACATCGTAAGATTGAATGAAAATTAAATGATGACAGAGATTTATTAAAGAAATTATACGCTTAAATCTAGCAATAAATATAAAAAGGTATAAAATGTTAAAAATATATTTCCTTCTGCTATTAATAAAATTTATTTTAATTTCTAACTTTCGCAATATTTTTTTCATCCAACAGTACCGTTAATTGCATTGAAATTCAAAACAGAATATACATTTTTGTGGTTCAAACCTTAAACTGTTCACACTATCATTCAGAAAGTTTCCAATATATTTAGTGAATTAACATAAAATGTTTGACGATAACTGAGTATTTAAATGTCTGTTTAAACTGGCTTATTGTTCTGTTTGATATGAAGTGTTGGATGCGTACGGTGTTCTATTTGAATAAAATTATCTGTGTCATAATGTTATTATTATCAGTTATATATTATTTACCTACAATGTTATATCAGCATAAAAGTGATCTCGCCTCGACCTTGCGGTGAACATACGATAAAATTATGCCGTACATACTCGCCACCTCGCTCGTACATATTGTTTTAATTAACCATTTCGATTACAACCAGCAAAATAAATTAAGTTTTATCGCTGGCTTATTATTTGGAAGATATTTTTTTTCTGTTTCGTTATAATATTATTATGGGATGGAAAAAAGTTGAAATATAAATAAATTTCTCATGTAGAAAATTTCGTATCAGCTGGTAAGATATGTATTGTTTATGAGTGTCTTTTGTTTTAAATTTTTGCGATAGTAATTTTATTTTGTGTCTGCACAAATGTGATGTCAAAATTTATTATATTATTATACAGCTGTTACTTTTTATATAAGATTTCTTAATATAAATTATGTAATGTTAGTTTTTCGGATACTATTAGGTTTTTTTTATCATTCTATATCTACATACTATCGATATTTCGATTCCTTTATAACTAATGTTTACGGACAGGCGAGAATGAAAGTGAGTTTTTTAATATAACGTCATCTTTGCTTGCACGTTTAGATCGCCGTTGGTAGAAGCACTAGGGATCACACCATCGACGTAGATTTGAGCCTGGAAGGTCCAGCAGCGAAGGTCTCAAGGAAGCAGGCGACCATTCGTCTCAGGAACAGCGGTGACTTCTTCATGTCTTCAGAGGGCAAGCGGCCCATTTTCGTTGACGGACGACCGGTGCTTCAAGGGAACAAAGTGAAGTTGAACCACAACACGGTTATTGAAGTACGTAGTTCGATATTTTGTATTATGTAATTATATTAACTTATATTTTTTTAATTGTTTAAGAGGTTTGTTTGAAATTAAAACAATGTATTATGTACGTATTGTTAGTATGAAAATTATATTAAATTGATTTTTTTTAATCATTATAATGTTTATCGACAGTTTCTTATAATATGTATAAAGAATTATTCGACGTTTCATCAGCTTGATACTTTTTATAATATTTACAAGCTTTATTATTTATGTTATGACTTACCCGGTTAATATAAATAAGTCAATTGAAAAAGATATCAACATTATTCATACATAAAATAATACTTGGGGTGATAGATAATATGTTTATTTATATATTTTCTTTTATTTAACAGATCGCCGGTCTACGCTTCGTGTTCCTCATTAACCAGGACCTCATAAACGCTATAACACAAGAAGCCGTCAAAGTTACGATACCGGTCTGAAAATAATAAAGATTTAAAATAAAATAACAATTGTTTAATTTATCAGAACACATTTATTTGGTCAATCTTAAAAAACATCTTCAAAATTAGGTACACTCGAAAAAACAATATTCCCATTAGATATAACAAAAAAAAACTACACTCTGCGTCTCGTTTCTTTACAAATGTTACATTAGCAGGTGTATGTTACGTCTATAACGATAGAATAACGTGCGTTACTGGCTTCATAGGATATGCGTTAACACTAACAGAGAAAAAAAACAAACACTTAGAAACTACATCCGTAACCCTTAACATAGTGCAGCTCAGTTAAAATGTACAAACTTCCAACGAGTGACGTAGAATCAACAAAAAAATAACACTCGACGGTGCAACAAACATACGAGTTATACGATCAGTCGACAAGACATATCATACTCAGAACTCACTTTCAAACAAATATATATAGTGTATTACCAACAAATAATTAAACTGTGAGATAAAATACCACTAAAACCTCTAGTATTACAATAATATTGTATATATATTTTGTACATTTACATAATATATTATCAATTTATATACCCACCTTACAATAATGATATATATTTATAAATTAAACATCCCTATGTATATACAAAACGTATTTCAAAAAGGGAATACCACTTAACTAACATCTATACAATATAACTTATCTACGAAGGCAACACTTGCACATAAAAGCACATTTTATTTTTGGTATAATATTAACACCCTGTATGTAATATAAAAAATATTAGAATATTTTAAAACAGTTGAGGCACGCCAAGCTTCATAGTGTGCTGTACTGAGATCAACGGACTTATAGGATGGAATTAAACAGCCAAAACAATATACAAAATAACCATTCAAGCACGGTGACCTCTAACAAAATAACATCAATATTACTAAACGATCATTACAGATTTCGATATAAATATAGTTTTCTCTTGAGACACTCGTGTTTTACTATAGTTGATAACAAAAATCGATCAATACGTAGTACACAATAAAACGTACTCATAACACGTGCTTTGATAATATTTGAATAATATATAAATATTTTTTATATGATATAAAAATCATGGCATCCAATATAAAGGCACCGTTTTGTTTCAAACAGTATATGTATATAATATATTAAATACATCGAAATATATATTATGTACGCATTTCAATGATCCCATATTAAATAATTTTATTTCAATGTTGCAATTTAACTGGAGGCACTTATTCTTCAATACATTTTGCTAATATTTCAAATTACAATGTAATTAATAACATTTATAGTGTTATAGACATTTCAATCGAAAAATATATTAGACACTCGTTAAAAAACAGTTTTGCGTGCGTTAAAATATTAATATTTATTTAATATTTTATATAAGCATCTATTTATTTACAATGTGTTTATGTTGAGTATTGAATTCGGCTATTTTACTAATTTTTTTATTATTTCTCTTTCATGACTTCACATACGATCCGTATGCTTCTTCACAACTGATGATAACATCATTAACTAAGCACATATTCACTTACAAAACAAAAATTCAATACCTCAATATGTAAGGGTGCACACAATTTGTACTTTAGACTAAACTTTCAGTTTATAAAGACAAATAAAAACTACATCAGTACTCACTACCACAAGTTTGTATCGTCACACTAAACAGACACTTTCATTGATATAATAATGAAAACATAGGATTCGTCCGTTTTCATTCAAACGTTACAAACTCGTACTAGGGTACACGTGCTTAAAGTTACGTGAGCAATTTCAATCACCACAAAATGTGATATACATAACGTGTTGTTAAATTTTACTTATATTAATAGAAAATATCGAATATCTCCATATAAAGATCAATTCTTATAAACATTACATTTGTCTATATATTTTTTTTATTACAAATCAATGAAAATTATTGTTATAACAATTTTAACTTAATTATTTACATTTTTTTTATTCTTTCCTATATATTAAAAAAAAGGATTAAATTATAAACGACAAAATAATACTTTTTATGGCTAACAGTGCGTAAATATAACATACATAACAATTTTATATAATATGTATATAAATATATAATTTACATTAGCTAATAAAATAAATAAAAATCTATAATGGAATGACGAATCAAGTAACAATTATTATAATCATTTAAACAACATAACGCAGATCAACATTTCGATATATATTATATAGGTGCATATCTTTGATTTATTTTTCATCACATTTGGTATTTGATGATTATTTTAACTATAACTTAAGAAACTAAAAAGTGAACTTAAATGGGTAACTATAAATAAAAATCTTTGATGCAATAAAAGGAATGTAGTTTACAAAAGGTGAGACCATTTTCTTGGTGGGTGGAGTATATCGCTAAAGTTACAGCCTTTGGCAGTTTAACAAAAATATATATAGCCCATTATCAAATAACTTGTGTATTAAAATATGTTTTACGAATCATTTGTGTTGTAATCTGATAGTGTATTTTAAATTACCATTTGTGGTACTCGATTTTGGTTGTGTGATTACGAATTTGGCGTTATAAACCGATTTATATTTACGAAATTTGTCAGCTAGGATATACGTCTTTTTTCTATGACAATATATGGCTTTTTGTTTCTTTTTGATTGCCATCCTATCAATGAAATTATTCTTTTCCAGAAACACCCAGGGTTGCCATTTCCTTCCGGTTAGATCTGGATTGTACACTTCATTATTCATCGGTTTACTACTAGTGTAGTGCGCCCCATCTTCGCCTTTCTTTATAACCACTTTTGGTATTTCACTTTTACCTTTTTTAACTTTATCTTTCCTTTTCTTAAATTGTATCTCGTCTATACTCTTAAGGACATCCTCGAATTTTGGTTTGACTTTTTTTGGTATGTCTACTTTTAGATTTCTATTTTTATATCTAATAATGTTTTCAGTGATCTTTGGTTCAATCTTTGAAATTTTAAGCTGCTTAAGTTTGTTGAGGTGGTGTTGAGGCAATGGTAATTTGACTTTTAAATCACCAACAGTTTCTTTTAATGGTGGTATGTATTTCTGAGCTGCTTTGGTAATCAATGTTCTCGAGGAACTGAAGTTTGATTTGTAACTTCGATATTCTTGATTCTCAGTAAGTTTGTAACTGATTTTGTTCATGTCATCAGGCATTTCGTTTATCTGAGAGGACCTGGATCCGTTATAGTTAGTTATTTTCAATAGTATGCCTTTTTCTTCAGACGTTGTGGAAGATACTTCAGGGGAACTTGAATACGAATAATGTGAATTATCTTTTTGGATATTTGAAATAAAATTATCATTGCTACTTTCACAAGAATTGAAGAAACGCTCATCGAGACTTTTATCATCGGAAAATAAAACCTTAACCTTATTCTCTTTAACGTCGCCGTATGTTTTCATATTATTAGTCTCTACAATTGAATCATTTGAAAGATTTTCTTTATCGTCGACTAAACAATTGCGTTGACGCAAATGAAAGTTCTCTAACTTGTTTGTGTCCTCATCATGACCATGTGTTGGTGAAGTTTCTTCTTGTAAAAAACAAGCTTCTAAATTATGAGATTCTATATCAACTAGACTTTTGTTAATATCCATATGTGGTGTTCTGTACAATGTTTCTAATAACTGTATATTTTCATTAGAATCACCATATATATTACGGATTTTATTGATATGTTCACATTCTCGCATTTCTTCAAAGATATGTGAGTCATCGTGTTCACTATCTTCTTCAGTTGCTATTTTTGGAGATTTATTTTCATCTATTGTAATATCTTCGGCTACATCGTCACTAAATACTGTTTCTATACATGCTACATCTTCGTACCACGATTCTTCTGTGTTTTTTTCGTCATCGTCTTGGAACCCATTAATATAATCATCATTTTCAATAGTATTGTCTGTCTGCTCAAACACTGGTTCATTTTCTTCATGGGGGATACATACATCACTATCAGCGAAACATATTTTATCTGACTCTTCGTTTTCTTCTGTAATTATTAGATCATTGTCTATCAAAATATATACACTTTCTTCGTTATAAAATGTTGATATTGAATTTCTTCTGTTATTCTGAACTATGTTGCACAAATCCTCTGCTGTTATATTTGATTCAAGGATATTGTTTACTTTCCTCTTTTTACTAGGTGTTAACAGGTTTGAATCCGCATCAGTCCTGTTATCTATGGCTGATTCAGAAAGGGATCTTTTTAATATTTTCTTAGGTTTATTCCCAAAGAACTGTGTCCTATTATTAAGTTTTGTAGGAACTTCCATTTCATTTTCCGAACTTTTTTCAAATTTTGGACCTAATGTCTCATTTGGTGCTGTATCAACACACTTTTTGATATCATCAACAGATTTCAAGTCATCCTTTGGATTTTCCGAGGATAATATAAGTACTAAAGTAGTGTCATTCGTATCAATAATATTTTCTTGGATATAATTTTCATTAACAGATATGTCTTCTTTTAAGTGATGTTCTAAGTCTTCATTTACATTAATATCTTCTTTGTTTTCAACCGATTTTGGTATAGCCTGAAATTCATCCCCATCTCCAATAAATCTTTCTTCACTTCGTATTTCCTTATTGGTCACGCAAGTTCCTTCAGTATGCATAATTAGTTTTTGTAGCCAAGGAGAAAATAGATTCTTATATTTTTTTACACTTTTAGGATAAAAAGCACCACTGCTCTTTGTTTCAACATTGTTATTAGTACAAATTTGTGTACAACCAAATTTACTTCGATCATCAATACTCATTTCAGTATCAATGTTTATATTTTTTGTTTCATTTAATATGGTATTGTTATTAATAGAACGTTCTTCACAATTTAAATCGATATCGGACTCATTTTTATTCAGCTCACGTTCATTTTGAGCGATGTTAGATTTTGAGGAACTCATATCATTTTCTGATTTATCTTCTATAGTTTTTTCTTCAACATAATTGAGTAAATCACCCCTATTAAGCGTAGGAGTTTCATTTATTATAGGATCTATGTTAGTGCTTATTTTATTATCTGTTTGTATCTCTAAAGAAATGGACGGCAAATCTTCACCATCCGTTACTTTTTCATTGTTATTGAAAACATCATTAAATTGTTGTGGATCAAGTAATTTCTCGGACTCAAAGTGTTCGAGTAAATTTGTGTCCAGCCTTTTCACTTCACAACTGCCATTTGGTTCTGTCCGATTCACCTGAGTATCATCTTCTATAGGATTAAAATTTTCTTCATTCTTGTGGAAATGTTGAATTTCGACGTAAAAGTTTTGGTCTCTGGGTTCGATTGACTCAGTGCTGGAAGGTGAATTTGAGATATGTTCGATATCAGTATTGTTTTCTTTTATGTTGAATTCAGGATGGTCGGGTATATCGTTATCTAATTCATCAGTTGCTTGTGTTAAATTAGTGTCAGCTGAAATAATAGACGCTTCATTATCCTCGTTTTGTTGAACACACACGTCTAGTTTTTCTTTGGTTTGAGTCAATTTATCCTCATCGCCCGTATTGATATTCTCATGTGTATCAGATACAGTTGTTATCTTTTCATTTTTTTCAATTTCACTGTTCGTGATACTATCGAAAAATTCATTGTCTTTTTCTGAGGTGTCTAATATTGGTAAGGAAATGTTCGAAATGACGCCTGCAGCATCTGATACTTTTTGCATAGTAATATTCGATGTTTGTATTTCACTTTGATTTATGACGGATTTGTTAAACTCATTGTTAGTTGATTGTATATCAGGAATTATAGAAACTTCATCTCTAGTTTGTAGACTATGTATCACACTCAATATCGGATATTCAGTTTTGGAGGCATTATCATCAATTAAATTGCTAAAATGTTGTTCCATAGGACTATCCTTAGATTTTTCAGATAAAATTTCTTCGAAACTATTGTTATGAGTTGAGTTTGGAAATTCACAAGCATTTGAAAACTCATCTTGTTCCGCTTTTACACATTCAACAATATTTTCTTGATAGGAGAAAATATTTTCGTTATGTTTGATATGAGTTTGATCTTCAGTTTCTTGTTGAAGATTAAGTGGAAATATATCTTGTTTTATTGGAAAGTTTTCTGATACAGTTTCTGATGTTGTAACGGGCTCATCTCGGTCTTCATAACCAATATTTTGAAGGATTTTTCTTGAAAACTTATCCTCATGCTTATCATTATTGACAGACATTATTGTTGTATGTTTATTTTCTTCATGTGAACTCTGTAGTAATGTAGACATATCTTTATGATTTTCAGTTATATTTTCATGTGTTGTTGTAGCTTGATCATTTTTATCTTCAGGATTATTGTCAAGTCCTAATGTAAACTCATTTTTATTTAATATAACTTCCGCACTTACATTGTTGCAAGTTGTATTTGCGTCACAATGTTCTTCTGCTATAGGATTGTCCGTACAATTCATATTATTAAGTACGGTATTTTCTATAGGTACATCGACATCGATCTTATTTAAACTAAAATCAATCGCTTTTTCTAAAGAAAGGTTATTGTTATCAAAAGTGTCATTATGATCTTCAAGTAAAGTGTTTAAACCGTAACTTGTATTAGATTGAATTTCCTGTAATTTTATATTTTCGGGATTCTTTATTATAACACTGTCTATTCTCTGCGTTGTGATAGGGGAGATAATTGTTTTCGCAAAATCATTAGGAGAAGGAGTAGACGGTTCTACTTTTTTGTTTTTCCTGTATTTACTTAGCTTTGAAACTTCTTTCTCTGTATTGGAAGCATTGCGAGGAGACAATAAATTTATCTGCTGATGAGCGGATTTTTCATTTAATTGATTAGATTTCGTGTCTGTATCTACAAAACTTGAAATTTTTGGAGACGTAATAGCATTTGATACTTTTTTGTTTGCATTAATAAACTGTTGGTTAATTTCAGGGAAATTTAGTTCCAAATCATTGTCAAGTTGCGGTAAAGACGCTAAGCATACACCAGAATTGGTTTCAAGATCTTGTGTACTGTAATGATTAGCCTTTATATTGCCGTTGGCCGGTTCTGTTGTGAACGGGTGATTTGTCATGTTGCAACTCGTATTTTTAATAATATTTGAAGTTTTTATATCACTCTCATCGACATGCAATAACGGTGAATGTGTTATGACTGGATTAACGATTTTTTCTATTGATCTTTCACCCAATATATTTTGTACTGGCGTCGCTACTTCGACATTTAACATTTCAGGACTACAAGGTTTAATTTCGAAATTACAACCTACTTCTTTGTGAATTACAGATTGACTTATTTTTGCTTCAACATCTAACGGCGATATCGGACGAGGAACTGTTATATGTTCCTTATTTATTATATTTCTTAGCGGAAGGTTACATTGTCTCGTCATTATTGGCTTAGACGTAAATTTATCGGTATTTGAAGGTTCTAAAAGTTCTTCATACTGATTTAATAGCTCCAAGCTATTGTAGCCTTTAATATTTTCCGGCAATTTTGAAATTTTTTGAATATGCTCATACTTTCCGATTTCGTCACTAGGAACATTAACTAAACCTAGCACATAAAGTTGTTCCTCATCATTCTTAGTAGAATCATTTGATGTCACAGTTTCTTTATTGGTTTCACTAATATCGTCATCTCCTTCGTTCCACATTTGTAAAAACTGTCTAACATTAATATTTTTTTTATCAGAAGTACTACTTTTTCTTTTAGATATCATTTCTTTTCCGTTGTTTCTCTGTATACCATAATTGTTATAGTTATGTCTTCTTAAAGTGTCGTTTGTGGCTTGTATATTGTAAGAATCTAAACTTCTTACACTTGTAGTTGAAGATTGACTAACATAACCACAGTCCTCTTGAGGTGCGCCTAAAGTTAGCGCTGTATCATTGCTAGTGTTTGAATCTGAGGGCGATATGGCTAACGTGTTTGGTGAATATTGTAATGGGAATCTAGGTAGTGAATTATTCATGGGCTGATCAAGATTCCTATATTGTATATTGTATTCAAAGTTTTTGGGATATGCATTATCTTTTCTATAGATCGCGTGTTGGGGTACCGTATGCATACTCAGTGTAGAATTAGGAGGTAGCAATATATCACCCCTCAAAGATTGATGGTGATTCATCTCATTTAAATAAATGTTATCAGGAATAGGATAACCTTTGTTATGTTTTGGTTCAAGATCAACATATACTTTACTATTCGGCTCAAAATGTATTTTATTATTAGGCTTTGAAGAGCCATCAAGAGGATATGGCTTATTTTGAATACAGTTACCTGATAATGGACCATATGGAGGAGCAACAGGTTGATTTCTGTATGCCATAAAATTTGGTGTATTAGAAGACCTCTGATAGGAATCTGGTATAGGCTCATGGATTCTTCTGTCTAAGTACTTTACTGGTATTTGGGGATATACAGGATACGGATGGCCATGAATTGACTTCTGTAAGTCATATCTATGAGGTGGGAATGGGTTTGATGGGTGAAATGAACTAGGATAATTATTTATGTAATCATACCTTACTTGTGGATGCCGTTCCTTAGCCAATGGATATGGCTTAAAACGGATATTTGAATCTTGGTATAGATGATCAGGAAACATTTGTGTAGATTCTCCATTCAGTGCTTGATGTTGACGAAGCGTCGGTCTTGTTCCAGCACAACTGGGATATTCTGAATACTGATAGAAATCAGGAGCACCATAAGGTCGCAAGGGTCGCACATTTACACCAGGAGGCCAACCATATGGCGGCACACTTCTGCCAAAAGCAGGGTTCATGTTTGTTATAGGAATGTCAGGATTTCTTACACTTTTAAGTTCATTATTCACAGAATTATTATAAGGCACATCACAGTATTTAGCCTCGTGAGGCATATTTAATTTGGTATTTTTTGAGCTCGATTCCTCAGGTATTTTTATTGAACTATAAGTAGGCGGGACCATTATGCGCTGCATATTCTCTTGGAATGTCTGTCTTGGTGATATGTTTCTGTTTGGTTGATATTCAGGTAGCTTACTTTGGTAATCAGTTGTATGGCGATAAACATTTTCTGGACATGGCCAAGGAGCAACTGTTTTTTTTAAATAAACATCACCAGCGTTGGATGGCAGCACTCTATCAGGTCCGATTATAGCACACGGTCGCGAGGTCGGCGCGTCCATTTTGCCCATTGAGTTTGAGCCAATATCGTTGAAGGATTGAATTCTATTTGATTGTAAAATTGGACTGCTGTGAGCATATTTAGTGCTGCCATCACTGACGACTGAGCCTAATGTGGAATTGGCCCTCGATCCGTCAGTGTCCATGGCCAAATTGTTCAAGGTATATTGAAGAGGGAATCGTTCTCATCTTTTACACCGTCCCCGAGTACTACACGTAACAAATCAATCTCCAGGACTTGGAAATGGCATTGGCCATCCTGAAATATAAACAAAATAATCAAACACCTTTATGACAAACGTCAAAACACTGTGCCACATAGACTATTAGATATTGGAATGTTATAAATAAATAAAAGCTACACAGAAATCACAATTGTAACCAACTTACTCTAGGTTCTATGTAAAACACATAAATTATCAATATTATTTCCTTGGAGACACTGATTTATTACGTTCGTACACCGTCGACTTTGTAAAGTTAAAATGTTGACTACATTAAAAAATAAGATTATTGAATATTGCACCATGAAAATTTTTTCCTTAATAGTATTATTAATTTTTTTTTGTTACTAATAGGATCGTATACTTCCCTTAAATTTATACATTTAATGTATATTATTATGAATTTAAGAATATATTTGCATATTGAATTATCTGGAAATGCGATAAAAACAAATAACCATAACCATAATAACTTATGTTCTAGACACTCATGAAGGACTAAGAGTTTTTTTAATTTAATAATATTTAAGTACGTTATTATAAAATTGTGCTGTATTTATAGAAATAAAAATGAAACTATATATCATTTTAAATTATGACAACATTTAAATATTTTAGTTATCTTAGTGTCAAAAAGACTAGCATCCAGAACCGTAAAAACATACAGAAAAAAAAAACCAGTTTAAGTTAGTGTATACGTCATTTGTCACAATATTGGCTTCAAATTGAAATTTTAGGTATATATCATTTGATTTGGTTAAATAATAATTAATTTGATTCTGATATTAAAACTTAAAACGTTATGAAATATATATCCTTTACTTTTATTTTAACTTTAATTTTTGCGGGTTATGTGATAAATACAATATGGACTTTAGCTGAAATTTTTATACCGCCCGAATGCAGTCGTGGCGATAGATGTTTAACGAATTATTTGGCTTCAAACCCAATACAACATCTTGTTCTATACACGTCCATAAAGGAATTTCCTTACGGAAATGGAAAATTTGAATCTTCAGTTAACAAAGTGTACACTTCGCTTAAGTTCGACTATCAAAATCCGGCAACCATGTAGGTACAATACTGTTTACAATTCTACGATAGCCTATTTGTTTAGCTTTATTAATCGTTTTTATTTACCAGGGAAGTTACTTTAAAAATACCTCGCAAGACACGTAACAATGGAACTTTCTATATGCATGCCGTTCTTTTGGATGAAAGTAAACTTTACAACGACTTTATAGATATATTTAGAAACGAAGCAGTGCATACTTTACCCTTGGTAACGTATACTGAACCTCAAGCGGCTACATTTAATCTACTCAAAGACAATGTAAGTTTCATTAAGAAATATGAACTTTGAAACTAATTTAGTTTATATGTAGATTCATAGTGTAAATTTTCTGCAGACTGACGGAGCTGCACAAAAATATAAAGAAGTTAAACCCTACTCACATATATCAACAGTAGCTCCATTGTCAATACTAACCGATAGTCTGAACCTACCTGCTCGTAAAATTCCTCCCGAGTTGCATCCTTATATGCGGTAAGAATGTGTTATTATAGAATATTTATTAATTAAATTGTTGTATTTATTAACATTTATCAGTTCTAATTCTGGGTAAAGTATTTGTTTGACATTCAAATTTAATAAATACCTATTAATAACTTTAACTCAATTCCCTAATCTTTAACTCTGGCTGTTAATCCATTTTTACAAAATGTAAAGTTATAATTATTGTTGTTTTGAAACTAACATATTGTATCTAATGATTTTAATATTTGTTTATAGTCTTCATGTTTGTGATATTAACCTTTTAAATTCTAACCATTCTAGGGTCCGGGGTAAAAACTTTCTACCAATTATTCAACACAATGTTCTCAAATCAAGGATTGCTAATTTACAGCTACTAAATAGTAGTACTACTGAAGTTAATGTTACTGTTAATGTATCACCCTCATCCTATGGTTCTTTGAGATTGGCACTACACGTGAGACTGGCTTTGAATCAGCTCAAGAGTTTAGGATTCAGTGAAAAAGATATTGATGATGTCAAAGGAATCTTTGCTGATACAAATCTGTATTTACTGTCAGCCACTGTTTTAATAGCAAGTTGTCATGTAAGTTGCTTTTATGTGAATTACTTTTACTATGTAATTATCATTTAAATCCTAATCAAATACCTAACACTGTGAAAATATGTATGTGTAAAGCTTGTCTTTTGTTTCAGTTACTATTTGACTTCCTAGCATTCAAGAATGATGTTTCATTCTGGCGTAGTAAGAAAACTTTAGCTGGTTTGTCATCAAGAACAATTTTCTGGCGAGCATTCTCTCAGTCTGTGATATTCTTTTATCTTCTCGATGAACAGACCTCATTACTTGTTCTGATTCCTGCAGGAATTAGTGCCTTAATCGAGGTATGATATTTACTGTTTTCACTAGTATTATTTACTATTTAGGCAGACCCTGGCTAATTGCCAGGAAGAAGAGATTTACTATGAAGATCTTATGTGATCTCTTGTACTATAAATGTAAAGTTTGTATCTTTAAAAAAGGTTATATTTATTAAAAATACTGGTTTGATTCAAACAGTTTATTTTTTTAATAACATTGGCAGAATAGCTTTAAACTATCACTAGATATCACATGGAAATAATTATATCGATACTTCCAGATATGGAAAGTTAAGAAGGTTTTACATTTACGTATAACATGGCGTCCGTTCCGTATATATCGGGATGTGACGTCAGACGAGGCTGAGAAGACGACGGCCCGGGCTGATGCTGAGGCTATGAAATATCTATCGATGTTACTATACCCGCTGTGTGTAGCAGGCGCTATATATTCACTGGTCTACGAACCACATAAGAGGTACAAAATATATGATTATTTTACATTTATGTAGTAGGTTACAATTATTAATTGACTAAAACGTAGATGAATCTCTAAAAATATCAGATATATAATGCAAGTACTGAAGAAAAAATTTCATACATATAGTTTTTAATTTAAAAAAAAATGTTATATGAAGGATATTAAAATATCTATTGATAGAGAATAATATATAATTTAAAATTAATACTAAATTGTATAAAAGTTTCCAAATCATGAAATAATATTTACTCATTGTATTTAAATAATTAATTCTTTTTTTCCTCAATAGTTTAAAACCATTTCAATAACAAACTTCAAACTGTCAGTTAGAAACATCAATTTGCCATTTACTACTAATTCGTTCCTAATGTTTACGAAATTTATCTCGTCTCGATGGCCGTACGTGATAAACTAATAACTGACTTTATCATTCCAGCTGGTACTCTTGGGCGTTGCACAGTGTAGTGAACGGCGTGTATGCCTTCGGATTCTTATTTATGCTGCCGCAGCTGTTCGTGAACTACCGCCTGCGGTCGGTGGCTGCTCTGCCGTGGAGAGCCTTCATGTACAAAGCCTTTAACACCTTCATAGACGACGTCTTCGCCTTCATCATCACGATGCCGACCGCACACAGAGTAGCTTGTTTCAGAGACGACCTGGTGTTTGTTGTTTATCTGTACCAGAGATGGTGAGTTCTATAATATATTAGTTGTTCAAAAATCGTAAGCAATATTTATGTTGGTGATTAACCACCGCTTTGCAAATTTTTTGTTACGCTACAGTTAATATTTTTTATATATTCAGAATGAAAAACTAATAGACTGGCGTCGATAATTAATTTTTATAACAAAAAAAGTTATAGTAGGACGAAACCCATTAGAAAAGTCCTACGGAAAAAATATATTATATAGCAAAGTTGTAGATAATAAAAAGATTTAAAACTTTTGTATTTACACTTTTTTTACATAACTTCAAGATTTATGAGAAAAAATTTAAAAACAAGTTTTTGTTTTTTTTAATTTTTATCTTTTATAAAAAATAAATAAATATTTGTCACGAAATTTGGTGAAAATTTACCTTTTTGTCTTAAATAAACTGTAATTTTTTTAATAATAAATATTTATTTTTTCAACTTCTTTTGAATAAATATCGAAAAAGCACCTTTATTTTCAATTTAAAAATCATCTGTCAAAGCTATTTTACAAAAAGTATGTGTTTTTTGTTCGTTGAAATCTCTATTTTTCTATGGTGAAGAAAAAAATATAAGTTTAAGTTTCTTACTTGCAGTATCATTGATTAATTAATTATTAATGAAATGACACTAGATATCTTTTGAAAATGATCTTTCAATTTGTATAGTATAATGTCAATTTACTGTAAATAAAATAAAAGAGGGCATTTCAGGAACTATTTCAGACTACACAAGTATTAAAAATAAGCTGAAATATTTCAAATCAATTAAATTACAGCGTATTTGGGACATACTATAAACGTACGTTTTCACCAAAATTTCGTGAAAAATAATCTTATAAACGATAGAATTAAAAAACAAAATGTTTTTTTAAATTTTTTTACATAAATTTAGAAGTTAAGTGAAAAGAGAATAAATACAAAAGTGTTAAATCTTATTATTACCTACAACTTTGCCATATATCTTTTTTTTATAGGACTTTTAATTTTAGCTGGTAATAGAGAAAAACTGTTTTTTACCCTTAAATACCCACCCCCATACAATTCTCAACCTCAGATCGCCCGTAAATTATTTTTCCTTTAATTTTTATAATATTCCCCCTCTTTTGTAACGGGTTTCATTGTACTATCATTTTTTTTCACTTTTCGTTAATTTTAAAGGCTAACTACCCTGGCCTATAAATACTGATCTTTAAGTATTAAAGTATTTTGTTGTTTTTGCACTAGTAAATGCTTTATATACTATGTCTGTTTCCAGGCTCTACCCGGTCGATAAGACTCGCACCGACACGTCTGTCAGTATGGACGAAACGACGGAGGAAGTTACAGACAAACAGAAGAACGACTGATGTTATATAGAACATTTAGTGAATTATATTAGAGGCTACGTTATATTATTTTCGGGTTCCGTACATATAAATGATCTTCCGTCCTTTCGGCGAATATTGTTATGAGTCATATTCTAACATTTATATACCGCTTAAAATAATTACAATGGTATAAACAGAAATTATAATGCACATTTTGTACTCTAAAAATGTATTTAAAAACGAAGTGCTTATAAATTAAGATATTTATACTTTTTATTATGAAGCTTGTCTGTTAACGAATTGTATGAAAAAATATAAATACTACGGAACCCTCTGTTGACATGAATTTAGGAAGAAGTCGCTTATGTATAAGTAGTTGAAATTAATTTAACATGACATTATATTTTATTTATTGCTCTCAGTGAAACCTATAGGTTTAATAATATTATAAGTTATATATTTTACCATTTTCATAGGTATCTGATTATTTAAATAATGTATGGTTATCACCATATGTAATTCATGATTTTGGTAACAAATACTCCTTAAAAGATACCTAATATCTATATATAATTTTATTTGACCTGTTTTTTTTATTTACTATATAATAGACAATTATGTTAAAGATAATCGAAATTACATTGTAAAACGTCTTAAAGATTCATTTATAAAAATAACTCCTATAGAGCCAGTGTTGCGTTATTTTAATTTGGTTGTAATTATTTATAGAGACATGCTCAATGTTAAATAAAATGGTTTTTTGTTATATTGTTTGTGGTATCATTGTATTCTAATAATTATTTTAATCTATCTTGATAATTATGTATGAATTTTCTTTTATAGATTGTACCAATATAATAATATGCTGCTGTAATTTCATCTTCTGATAAATCCAGTCAAGATTAGATGCCTTTAAAACACTGATTTATTTGTTTTTCAAACCGATACCTTTTAATATCTTTAACTCATTTTCCTAATCTTTAACTTTGGCTGTTAATCCATTATTACAAAATGTGAAGTTATAATTGTTGTTGTTTTGAAACTAACATACACTTTGAATTGTATCTAATGATTTTAATATTTGTTTATAAACTTCATGTTTGTGATATTAACATTTTAAATTCTAACCATTCTAGGGTCCGGGTTAAAAACTTTTTGCCAATTATTCAACACGATGTTCTCAAATCAAGGATTGCCAATTTACAGCTACTAAATAGTAGTACTACTGAAGTTAATGTTACTGTTAATGTGTCACCCTCGTCCTACGGTTCTTTGAGATTGGCACTACACGTGAGACTGGCTTTGAATCAGCTCAAGAGTTTAGGATTCAGTGAAAAAGATATTGATGATGTCAAAGGAATCTTTGCTGATACAAATCTGTATTTACTGTCAGCCACTGTTTTAATAGCGAGTTGTCATGTAAGTTGCTTTTATGTGAATTACTTTTACTATACATATAATTATCATTTAAATCCTAATCAAATACCTAACACTGTGAAAATATGTATGTGTAAAGCTTGTCTTTTGTTTCAGTTACTATTTGACTTCCTAGCATTCAAGAATGATGTTTCATTCTGGCGTAGTAAGAAAACTTTAGCTGGTTTGTCATCAAGAACAATTTTCTGGCGAGCATTCTCTCAGTCTGTGATATTCTTTTATCTTCTCGATGAACAGACCTCATTACTTGTTCTGATTCCTGCAGGAATTAGTGCCTTAATCGAGGTATGATATTTAATATTTTCACTAGTATTATTTACTATTCAGGCAGACCCTGGCTAATTGCCAGGAAGAAGAGATTTACTATAGAGATCTTGTGTGATCTCTTGTACTAATGTAAAGGAGGTTTGTTTGCATCTTTAAAAAAGGTTATATATATTAAAAATACTGGTTTGATTCAAACAGTTTATTTTTTAATAACGTTGAGAGCTTTAAACTATCACTAGATATCACATGGAAATAATTATATTGATATTTCCAGATATGGAAAGTGAAGAAGGTTTTACATTTACGTATAACATGGCGTCCGTTCCGTATATATCGGGAAGTGACGTCAGACGAGGCTGAGAAGACGACCGCCCGGGCTGATGCTGAGGCTATGAAATATCTATCGATGTTACTATACCCGCTGTGTGTAGCAGGCGCTATATACTCACTGGTCTACGAACCACATAAGAGGTACAAAATATATGATTATTTTACATATATGTAAAAGGTTACACTTATAAATTGACTAAAACATAGATGAGTAATATTAGGCATTGCTTTTATCATCTTTAAAAATATCCCTACTAATATTATAAATGCGAAAGTGACTCTGTCTGTCTGTCTGTTTGTCTGTCTGTCTATCTGTTACGCTTTCACGTCTAAACCACTGAACTGATTTTTATGAAATTTGGTACAGAGATAGAGTTAACCTTGAGAAAGAACATAGAATAGTTTTTATCCCGGACTTTTGGAAGGTTCTTTTGGAAATGCGTTATAACCGAACTCCAAGCGGGTGAAGCTGCTGGCGGAAAGCTAGTTGGACATATAATGCAAGTACTGAAGAAAAAAACTCATACATATGTATAGTTTTTAATTAAAAAAAAATGTTATACGAAGGGGGTTCAAATTTATATTGATAGTGAATAATGTATAATATAAAATCAATACTAAATAACATAAAAGTTTCCAAATCCTTAAATAATATTTACTCGTTGTATTTAAATATTTTTTTTTTCTAAATAGCTTTTAAATAATTTTAATAACAAACTTCAAACTAGAAACCGTCCCGTCAGTTAGAGACATCAATTTGCCATTCACTACTAATTCGTACTGTTGCTATTGTTTACGAAATTTATCTTGTCTCATTGGCCGTACGTGATAAACTAATAACTGACTTAATCTTTCCAGCTTGTACTCTTGGGCGTTGCACAGTGTAGTGAACGGCGTGTATGCCTTCGGATTCTTATTTATGCTGCCGCAGCTGTTCGTGAACTACCGCCTGCGGTCGGTGGCTGCTCTGCCGTGGAGAGCCTTCATGTACAAAGCCTTTAACACCTTCATAGACGACGTCTTCGCCTTCATCATCACTATGCCGACCGCGCACAGAGTAGCTTGTTTCAGAGACGACCTGGTGTTTGTTGTTTATCTGTACCAGAGATGGTGAGTTTTATAATAGTTGTTCGAAAATCGTAAGCAATATTTATGTATACCAATTAACCGCTTAGCAATTTTTTTCATTACTCTACAATTATTTTTATATTCAGAAAGTAAAACTAATAGACCAGTGTCGATAATTTTAAAACAAAAAAATATTGTAGGATGAAACCCATTATTAAAGGAGGGGAATATTATAATAATTATAGGAAAAATAATTTACGGGCGATCTGAGGTCAGAAAGGGTATGGGGTTGGGTATTTAAAAGTAAAAACGGTTTTTCTTGTTTTATGGCAAAACTAAAAGTCCTATGGAAAAAATATATTATATGGCAAAGTTGTAGATAATAAAAAGATTTAAAACTTTTGTATTTACACTTTTTTACATAACTTCAAGACTTATGGGAAAAATTTAAAAAAACAAGTTTTTGTCTTAAATAAACTGTAATTTATTAAATAATAATTATTAAATTTTTCAACTTATTTTGATAAATATCGAAAAAGCACCTTTATTTTCAAGTGAAAAATCACCTGTCAAAGTATCAGCTATTTTACAAAAAGTATATGTGTTTTTTGTTCGTTGAAATCTCTATTTTTCTATGGTGAAGAAGAAATATAAGTTTCTTACTTGCAGTATCATTGATTAATTATAATTATTAATGAAATGACACTCGATATCGATTTGAAAATGATCTTTCAATTTGTTTTAAATAGTTTTAGTATACTACTAAAGTTTTAGTATACTACTAATAAACAGTAAATAAAATAAAAGAGGGCTTTTCAGACTACACAACTATTAAAAATAAGCTGAAAAAATTTATATCTCAAATCAAATAAATTACAGCGTATTTGGGACATATGTATAAACGTACGTTTTCACCAAAATTTCGTGAAAAATAATTTTATAAACGATAGAATTAAAAAACAAAATCTTTTTTTTATTTTTTTACATAAATTTAGAAGTTAAGTGAAAAGAGAATAAATACAAAAGTGTTAAATCTTATTATTACCTACAACTTTGCCATATATTTTTTTCCATAGGACTTTTAAATTTGCCGGATACAGAGAAAACCAGTATTTTACCCTTAAATACCCACCCCCATACAATTCCCAATCTCAGGTCGCCCATAAATTATTTTTCCTTTAATTTTTATAATATTCCCCCCCTTTTCTAATGGGTTTTATTCTACTATCATTTTTTTTCACTTTTCGTTAATTTTAAAGGCTACTACTACCCTGGCCAATAAATACTGATCATAAAGTACTAAAGTATTGGAATGTTTTCGTGCCAGTAAATGCTTTATATTCTATGTCTGTTTCCAGGCTCTACCCGGTCGATAAGACCCGCACCGACACGTCTGTCAGTATGGACGAAACTACCGAGGAAGTTACAGACAAACAGAAGAACGACTGATGTTATATAGAACATTTAGTGAATTATATTAGAGGCTACGTTATATTATTTTTGGGTTCCGTACATATAAATGATCTTCCGTCCTTTCGGCGAATATTGTTGAATCATATTTTAACATTTATATACCGCTTATAATAATTACAATGGTATAAACAGAAATTATAATGCACATTTTGTACTCTAAAAATGTATTTAAATACGAAATCCTTATAAATTAAGATATTTATACTTTTTATTATAAAGCTTGTCTTTTAACGAGGTGTATTAAAAAAATATAATATAATGTATGAAAAAATATAAATACTACGGAACCCTCTGTTGACATGAATTTAAAAAGAATTCGCTTATAAATAGTTGAAATTTATTTAACATGACATTATATTTTATTTATTGCTCTCAGTGGAACCTATAGGTTTAATAATATTATAAGTTATATATTTTAACATTTTCATAGGTATCTGATTGTTTAAAATTTAAACTTTAAATAATGTATGGTTATCACCATATGTAAGTCAAGATTTTGGTAACAAATACTCCATAGAAGATACCTAATATCTATATATAATTATATTTGACCCGTTTTTTTATTTACTACATAATATACAATTATGTAAATGATAATATTATACTTTAAAAGATAATGATTCATTTATAAATATAACTCCTATAAAGCCAGTGTTGCTGTCGCTTGAAATTTTCCAATATCTTTGTGTTATTTTAATTTGGTTGTAATTATTTATAGAGACATGCTCAATGTTAAATAAAATGGTTTTTTGTTATATTGTTGGTGGTATCATTCTACTCTAATAATTATTTTAATTTATGATAATCATGTATGAATTTTCTTATATAGATTGTACCAATAAAATAATATTTAGTTGTAACTTCATCTTCTGACAAATCCAGTCAAGATTAGATGCATTTGAAGCATTGATTTGTTTGTTTATCAAACTGGTACATTTATTATTGAGATGAAGAATTCTTTCCCATTTACTACATTCTAATCCTGGTATACATTTAGTAATAGATATATTACAAACATCACAGATCTATTTATAATGGTCATTGATCATTCTAAGATGGCGTTGAATATGTGTATATAAAGAAGATTTCTCCTGAAGAAAATGAGATTAGGACAAATACTTAGTTACAATTACTGAAATAAATACTTTGCATTAATTGAAATTGATTGTGTTTAATATTCGATATATATATTGTCGATTATACAACAACAGTCGGACATTGACCCCATACCATGCTGATGTCTACAAGCAGTGATTCCAGCCAGGAAGTTAACATACATGACCCCTCTGAAACGTTCGCGGCTTTTAATTAGATTTAAATAATGACAGACATCCGATATTTTAACGTACCCTAGGTCGTTGTTGTTAAATTAAAGTATGTGTCGTCACACTCGCGGTCCTCTCCTCAAACTTCTGCTGTCAGAATATTATATTGAACATCTCACATTATACTGTTCTCTTAAAAATAAACTTAAAATAAAATCACATTATTTTATGTTATAATTAAATAATTAACTAGTTAGTAATTACACAAGTACTGTTATTATTAACTAAGCAAGGTATGTGTTTTTAAAGCATGCTAGGTTTACATCTAGAAGACTGCAACTTAATGACACTCTGTTTTAGCTTAGACCTTATTTTGTATGCATTAGTTGTAAGTCAGTTTTGTAAACTTAAATAAAAAAAAAACATTATATGTCAAATATTTACCAGCTCTGATGACGGGTTTTAGGAATCTTGAACTGTAAACTATTTCTATTAGACAACATCACGCAACGCCATGACACGGCAAATGTATCAACTAGTTTTATATAAAGAATTGTATCTGTATATGATTGGTTGTCATACAAGTTTTACGAGCACCAGTGTATGACCTAAACAGTGTTAGCTACTTTAGATATTGTTCTTTCGGAGGGGACGGCGCGTACGCAGTCCCCACTACCAAAAATTACGCGTCCGAGTTATCCACATTAGGGATAATCACAGAGGTCAACCCCGCCGCAGTGCAATGGAGGGGCCTCGCTCTGGGGGAACCGCCTTCATGATCACGGTATCCCCTACGCCAGGTAAGTATGACTTTACTACCTCACAGCCACCGAGTCATTCAGAGAGCAGAAATCTTACTAGCGTGATGTAGGAATACGAAGCCTTTTTACTAGCGACACCTCCCGAGCATATCACAAATGACCTATGTAGAGCGTAGAAAGTGTGTAGAGCAAAATTTTAGTAACGCCATCTATTGATATTATTATAAATGAATTATGTAGTAGAGTATTGAAAGGTGGTTTTTCCAAAACGTTGTATGAGGCTGTACACATACATAATAATTATTATGTGCTTGCGTTTATTTCAGCTTCTACACTCAGTAAGCAATATATACTAATACTTCAGTGAAAACAGCAAATCTAAAAAATATATCAGACTCAGTCAAGTCACGTCTAGTATGACTAATTCACAACTTTTATTACCATAATATATCAATATGTACGGAAACAGAAAATAAAAACATATGATGATTAGATGTATAAATCAGTTGCATATTTCGTTGAAAAATATTATTGATGCCAAGAACCTAAAATCTAGAATAAGACTGTGTTACCAAGAAATTTTGAATATAAAATTAAAGCAATATTTTTTAAATAAAAAGCAATAAAACTCTATAAGTGTCTGCTATGTAATACACACTCACACACATTTAAGAACAAACTAACTTTTTCCTAATGTAATCTCTTTTGTTGCAATTAAATGTTATGAAAGATGCTATTTGAAATCTCGATACAAAGTTTTATTCTTTGCATTCAAATTTTATTTTCTTCGTTTTAATGCATTTAAATATATGTATTTTAATACTTTACTATGTACCTACGTGTTTTATACTTTTCAATGACACATTAATTTTGTTGTCTAACCTTAACAGTATTTTGCTTAGGATATTGTATTATTTCGGGGTTGTCCTAATTGCCGGGATCGCCCCCATGCTCCGAGGGACTAAGTTCGATCTTTGCCAGGACCGGCCAGTAGCTGGTGTGCCCTGTCGCTGACAGATCCGGGGTACACCGACATAACGGCCAATAGCTTTCGCAGTAGTTTTAGTGAGTAGGGACCTGCCCAGGTCTCACACATCCCTTCCGGCCCCACCAAGGCCGGTTGAACGGCTCGTAAAAAGAGTTTCAATCAAAAAAAAAAGGATATTGATACTAAAAATGTGAAATTATAAAAATATGGCATTTGATATTATTAAACGTTACAGTAAGCTGGTAACATAATATATAGTAGTATATACAGATTTATTATATTGAAATTCATTTATTTATGAATGTAGTTTGAAATATACTGTAGTGGTTATTAACTTCAAAACACTTAAGGATTTTTTTCCAATGTTCCTGAAAAACGCTATTTGTACACTTTGATTCTCACTGATATTATACAATATATTTTTTGATTTTCTTAACAAAATAGCACCATTACAGTAATTTAAAAAAGAATGCAATAGAAAAGTGAAAATTATTTTAGTATTTTAAAGTAAGACGATAAGAAAGCGAATGTGAAAAAATATGTTTCCGCCCGGGATCGAACCGGGGACCTTCTGCGTGTTAGGCAGATGTGATAACCGCTACACCACGGAAACTTGTGTACATTATATATTATTTAAAATGTTAAGGAACCGTCTGTTGTACATAAAGGTACTATATAGTTTTATAAGAAAGAATAAAATAATTTACATGCAACTTCAATTCAAGTTTCTATTTTAAGTGTATCAAAGGTTTTAAAAGGTATAATTTATTAGATATAATAGAAGTTTTATCTTAATTTAAATTTAACCAATGGTAATTATATACAATTATTGTGTACAATTATCCAGAATAAAAATTTAAAAGTAATTGGAATAGGCATGAAATAAATATTTTTTTTAAATAATCCTTATTGTAATTAATTGCATTTTATTGAAATGTGGGGTATACAACTAATTTGGCTTAAAACCCAACCGAAAGCTATATTTCTCAAATTCTGCAATACATTAAAAACCTATGTACATAATTTATCTTTTTTGTTAAATTTTCTGAGCCCTCAAGTATACAGTTGCGCTTATGTTTGTTTTGTTTTATCAAATACAATATAATATATTTAATGCACATTCAGATCATATCTAAATCTTTTACATTTGTTCCCATAACTTTACTTCTGTACAAACAGCATATACTTTCAACGTTATTTGTAACTCCGCGTTACTCAGTCTTTTTATTTCTACACAACTTTATATGTTAATTTCAGTTTTGCGGTCGTTATTTTTATGAGATATATTGAACTTAATGAACAAAAGTCATTGTTTTCACTCATTTATCACGACAGGAAAATTCAACTGAAAAATAACAATAAAAATAAAAATAACATTTTTTTACAAAAATTATAAAATTTGTCATGGCATTTTCTATTTATAAATTAATATAATTTTTATAGAAGACTGATTATTTTAATATTCTTTATCAAATATCTTGAAGTCATATTTTGATATCTTTATATTCTATAAAAATAGGGTAAAATGAATAACTCACTTTTTTAATTGTATTAACTTTTAGATTTGTTAATTAAATAATTACAATGATTTCTAAAATATTGGCAAAAATGATTTGAAGGTCACAATCTAATATTAACTTTCGTTAAATTAAGAAAGAACTCTTCTATTTCAAAATTATGAAAGCTCTACATTATTATTTCCAAAAATCACCAATAGATGGCGTTAGCAATACATTTATAACGCGTGTACTGTTAAATATAGAGTATAAATAGAGCTATAAAAGTAATAACAAAAAATTACATTGTGAAACACACAACTACACAACTGTAAAATATAAAAATAAATGAATTATACTGTTACAGACACTTAAATATTAATAAACTTATTGTATACTCTACACTTTCATTTATCTTAGACGTAACTTATTTTGTTGTTCCAAACGAAACACTTATCAATTACTTTAACAAAATAATATTTAACCATTCCCACATTATATTATTCAGAGATGTTGAATCTTGTACTCCATATTATGCTTTTGCAAAAGTTTTACTTGTGTAGTAGTGTGTAAGTCTCTACATTGTTAGTTTCAAATACGCTCGAGTGATGGCGCTAGCAAAAAAGGCTGGTATTCCTACATCGCGCTAGTAAGATTTCTGCTCTCTGAAGGACTGGGTGGCTGTGAGGTAGTGAAGTCATACTTACCTGGCGTAGGGGATACCGTGATCATGAAGGCGGTTCCCCCAGAGCGAGGCCCCTCCATTGCACTGCGGCGGGGTTGACCTCTGTGATTATCCCTAATGTGGATAACTCGGACGCGTAATTTTTGGTAGTGGGGACTGCGTACGCGCCGTCCCCTCCATAAAACTGATAACTTCTTAGTGTATTTATAAAAGAGTAGCAAAACTATTGCTAAAGAAAATCTCTAACATAATCTCAACTATTAATAGAAATGTACGTCGGGTATGATTAATTATTATTATTATTAGAATGTCGATTTCTGTTGAAGTATTCAATATTCTGCCTTTTCAGTGCCAATGTATACGGCTCATTATAGTTACAATTTACGGTTTAATCATGACAATTAAAACATCAACTGTCTACAGCAAGAAATATATAAATAGGCAATAGTACAATAATACTATAAATAGGTAATAGTATTGTAAATGATAAAAATAAAAAAGTAAAAACTAGGTTTTTAGAATTTTACAAAAATTTTGAGACTGTGTGAAAAAAATGTAAATACAAAAGGGTCACTTTACTATTTAAAACTTCGCCAGGTGACTTATTTCCATAGGACTTTTAGTTTTGCTGGAAATCAAGGAAAAACCCTTTTTTTACCCGTAAATACCCACCCTCTTATCCTTCCCGATCTTAGATCACCCGTAAATTATTTTTCCTTTCATTTTTATAATACTCCCCTCCTTTTCCAATGCTTTTAATACTACTATTATTTTATTCAGTTTTAAAAATTATCTATACTGGAGTATCAAAAACAATTGCTTTGATTACTGTCCCTTGCTAATATAAAGCTTTAAAAGTGATATAAAGATTTGAAACACCATATTTCCCGTCAAATAGTAACGAGATTCTACTAAACCTGAGTTGTATTCTTCTTGTACGTAAATTGTAATATTTTCTCATTTAGAAAATAATAATTTAGTTTAAATGCTCATTATTGTTTGTTCGATGCAAATCTTATGTATTTTATTTAACTTGTCCTGTTAGCATGTTAAATTAAAAACACTAGAGAACACAAACACACACACATATATTTAAATACATTAAAAAACAAACTAACTTTTTTCTCCTGTAATTTCTTCTGTTGCAATTAAATATATTTTTTTTTATGTGAAAGAGCTTGACAAACGAGCAGACGGCCCACTTGATGGAACGTGGTTACCGTCGCCCATGGACATCCGCAATATCTTTGTTGCGGATGCGTTGCCAACCTTGTTTTGTAGGGATAGGGAGGAGTGGGAATAAGGAAAGGGTGGGAATAGGGAAAGGGCAACCGGCTCTCTCACTCATCGGACGAAACGCAGCCATTAAAGGCTACTTCACGCCGATCTTCTGTGAGAGGGTGGTACTTTACCGATCGAGCCAGCCCATGTTCGAGCTGTAGTAACTTGGCTACAGCTGGGCTCTACCACCTAAAATAACCTTTAAGGTAATAAAAGTTGTAAATTAGTCATACTACACATGATTTTATTGACTATGTATGATATATTTTTAAGTTTTGCTATTTTCACTGAAGTATTGCATACTCAGTAGAGAATCCATTATAAACTCATGCACATACATATGTATACAGCCTCATAAAACGTTCAGGAAAACCACCTTCCAATGCTTTACTAGCTACATAATTCATTTATAATAATATCAATAGATGGTGTTATTAAAATCACTAGAATCAGATCATCAGAAGGAGCAATCACTAGAATGTCTACTTGTATACCAAAAAGAATCCGAAATATTTTATACAATACTTTAGTAAAATCTCATTTAGAATATCTAATACAAGTTTGGGTATCAGCTACTACATACTTCAAATCTAAATAGTTTACAAAGAAAACAAAATAAAATTATTAAAATTCTATATCAATATCACTTTCTTACTCCAACGGCACAACTTTATAATGAAACAAAAAAAATGAATATATCACAATTATACACATACTATACATGCATTTTAATCAAACAAATTAAATCAGGTTCCATTCAATCTGAGATAGTGATTAATGAGAGACCGCATATTTCGAACTTAAGGAATAAATACAAACTTCAAATTGATCGCGTGAGAACTAATTATGGTAAAAAAACAATTCTGTTTGAGGGAGTACAACTGTTCAATAAACTACCGGACGAAATAATACTGTGTGATAGTATAGGCATGTTTAAGGTTAAATTAAAAAAATATTTCATATCCTCGCTGTAGTAGTAAATGTAGCAAGTCTGTCATGTCCAACGGCCCGTTTGTTAAAATTGTTATCTTGCAAATATTCCTTGCATCTCATTTTAAGTGAATGTAAAAATTCTTATGAGAAATAAAGTTATTTATACACAAAATTCTACTCTACTCGCTTTCTACGCTCTACATAGATCATTTGTAATATGCCCGAGGGGTGTCTCTACCGAACAAGGCTCGTATTCCTACATCGCGCTAGTAAGATTTCTGCTCTCAGAATGACTCGGTGACCGTGAGGTAGTAAAGTCATACTTACCTGGCGTAGGGGATACCGTGATCATGAAGGCGGTTCCCCCAGAGCGAGGCCCCTCCATTGCACTGCGGCGGGGTTGACCTCTGTGATTATCCCTAATGTGGATAACTCGGACGCGTAATTTTTGGTAGTGGGGACTGCGTACGCGCCGTCCCCTCCATAAACATTATGAAAAGTAGTTCGTAACGCTAAAGTATACACTGTCGTCCCTGAAACTAAAAGGACAACCAGTAGTCATATTCTAGCATACAGATACAATTACTTACATTAACTAGCGGCTACAGAGGAACGCCGCTTCAATTTTAACCTTAACGTACTAAGTACTAGTGGAAGTCAACTATGATTACATTAGTAATAGAATCTTGATAACAAGATAATTTTAATGAAACGGTATTGAAAAACGCATAATTATCATGCATGCGCTCTTACTCACAACGACTCTTTAAATACGTTTAAGGAATATTAAGGTTTGTTGTGACAACTTACAAAATATAGCATTTGGAAATCTCGTATAATACTTTAACTAAGATCGTGGTTTTTAAATTGTGTAGCAAAAAAATTTATTGATAGAAAGTGACTCATAGTATTCATTTTTTTGTTTTTTAATTTTTTTCTATGACAAAAGTAAAAATCAGACCTCAGACTCTAAGTAAAGCGAGTACCATTTTTACTTAACTGACACCTGTTACTTGACAATTGACCATTGGTATAAACTACCAAATATATATATTGTACGTTTACTGTAAAATTAACCTATTATAATAGTTTAGTTTAAGGGATATAATTATATATGTTTTGTCCGTTAGAAAAAGAGTAAGGTCTAGGTGCTCTGGGTTCTTGGACTATTACCTAAAACTAAAAATTATTGCATGGATGAAGTAAATTGTTTTTCATATTGTAAGTAAATGGTTAATTTATTAAAAGCACATTTGAAATTCAAGAGGAGCCCTTGCAAATACTTCAAATAAAACCTTTAAACGCCTTCATCACCTTAATTTATTAGTTTTTTTAATTTTACATTTCAAAATCTCTTAATTCCTAAGGATAAACCTGAACAGCAAGGAAATAATAACAATTCAATTTATTCCAACTTAAATGTTTTTTTTATGATATCTATTCCTCTTTTGAATTAAAAATTTTGCTATACATACCTTGCTAATACACTGACAACAGAATCATATGTTGAATATTTGCATGATAGAATTAGTAATTTATATCCAAATAATACCTTTTCACTAAGTCTTATTTAATTTCTAATTTGAACCATAACTTAAAATAGTGAAGAAGTGGGCTAAGGTTTAATGAAACAACAGTGAAAGCAAAGCTTCTTTACGGATACAAGATCATTCAATTGAAAATTGATAGAAAGTATTGACTTAAGTCATGTACTTAAATTGATAGTTTACATCCATTAATACTTTTAAGACAATCTTAACTCGGTGTTAACGCTAAATCTGTCACACTTAGATACAATTGATTCTATAATATTGTGTTTAAATTAATATGTATTTAAATAACCAATGTATAATGTAATGTGACTTCATTCCTCGAAAAAATGGGACATCTATCATAGACATTATTTCATATTCAAACTAATGTCGTTGTGTTATTCGTCTTCCAATAAATGTTCCAAACTTGTTATAGTTTGTGTACCTATATTTTTTTGTTTTAATATCAACTGTATCAACAATAGGGCTTGGTTGATATTGCACCCGTTGGAAGGTGGAAATGAAGTCGTAGGAGTCAAACGTACTGTCGTAGCTTATTCACCCTTTTCTTGAAGACATCCATATTATAGTTCGAAGGAAACACAGACGTAGTAGATAAACTATTCCAATCTTTCGATGTGCTTATGAGGAAGGAGGAAGCGTATAGTTCGTTCGGATGCGAGGGAAATCTCCAACTAAGGGATGGAGGTCCACCGTGCGTCGGTTGAAGGATTTATGATTCAACTCAAAGGATTTAAATATAGTAATAGATTCATAAAATAAAATTCTATAAAAATATAAGTCTATAAGGGTAGCAGCGATAACCCATAAATAATAGAACATCGCAATCTTTCATTCATAAACGTTACAGTAAACAAGACATAAAAGTTTTGATGCTTGCTTAAGTCGTGACATATTCATCTAGAAACCATCGGATGTGTATGAAATTTAGAATATTTTGTTGAATCAAGATATAAATATATTTTCAAACGTTCCACAATATTTATTTATATAATTAAATCAAATTATCTTCTTTAATGTTCTTAATTCTGAATTTTTTTTTCAGTAACCAATGTAAATGTAATAATTAAGTTTTAAGTGACAAACTTTACATCTAATCATAATATGTTTCATCTTATATACAAGCATACACTTTCATATAAAATAAAAATGGTTTTGTAAATATTATGATGAAATTGAATTTTTTTTTGAATTAATAATTTCAGTCGTAATGGCTTCACTCAAATCATATGTGTTTTATACATGAGAATATATTTTTATTTTTCTATGTGGTATTTATCCATTCGAACAATTCAAATTTGAGGATCGTCTATCCACGACATACCAGAAACTACCTAATAACTGCAACAGACATCTTAAGCATAATCTCCCCTAAAAATTATCCTTCATCGATTTGTACATACGACAGTCCTCTATTTAAAGTTTGCTTCTCTTTACATTTTATTTGAGTGCATTAGTTGTCATAAAAGTTGTCATCACACGAGTAACACTTCAAACGTGATATAAGGACCCGTAAAATATGTATAATACATTATCATTTATCAGCTCGAATCACGCCGAAACGAAAAATTTTATAAGTACAAAAGTAAAAGTATAATCATATAAAAATATGAAGAGTCCTTCAATTTTATAAGAAATGTATGCTCTACACACTTTCTACGGTCTACATAGTTCTTTGTAATATGCACGAGGGGTGTCGCTAGTAAAAAGGTTCGTATTCGTACATCGCGCTAGTAAAATTTCTGCTCTCTGAATGACTCTCTGGCCGTGAGGTAGTGAAGTCATACTTACCTGGCGTAGGGGATACCGTGATCATGAAGGCGGTTCCCCCAGAGCGAGGCCCCTCCATTGCACTGCGGCGGGGTTGACCTCTGTGATTATCCCTAATGTGGATAACTCGGACGCGTAATTTTTGGTAGTGGGGACTGCGTACGCGCCGTCCCCTTCATGAACATTAAATAAAGTAGGTTTATCCGCTCTAGTATAACACTAGTGGTCCGAAACCTGAATGACAATCAGTCATATTCTAGCTTACAGATACAATCCCTTTTATTAACTAGTCGCTACAATCATTCTTTAACGTAAAGAAAACTTTGTCAAAGTATTTATTTCAGTAAAAGTCAACTATTATTATTATTGTGTAATAGAATGTCGATTACAGTTGAAGTATTAGATATTCAGCCTTTAGTATCGATGTATACTAATTATGATTAAAATTTTGGGTTTAATTATTCCAATCAAAGATACGTCAGCCCTCTACAACGCGATATATAATAATATAACATTCTAAGGTCCCAGTTCCCTCCGACCTTACTTATTTTCTGATCGACAACACATTATTATAATGTATAAACTAACATGTGTTTTACACTAAACTTCAGTACAGTTAGAAATTCACAGGAAATCAATATCAGGTAAGTTGTTGGCTTACCCAACACGGAAAAACATGGCAGGAGGTCTAAGATACAAAAAAGTTTAGGGAACTCTGGTATAGATAGTAGAATAATAAAAAAAATGTATATGAAATAATTTAAATGTTAGTTAAAAGAGGATCTGAAATAGTTTACGGAAAATAATTATTATTGTACGAAATCTTAAATAATAATCAGTCTTGTTGAATGGAGAGGCAATATTCGTGTATATTTTGTATTATGAAAAAGATATCATTCTTTTCAAATTTTAACCTCACTGTTACAATTTCAAAGTTTTATATATATAGTTTCAGATCAGGCTCCAACTCGCTCCTGACTGACGATGAATCGCTGGAAATGAAGACGCGGTCTAACAAACAGTTGCCGGAACCCACGTTAGAAATAAGACATTACATTTAATATTCTACCATAGTTATTAACATCATCATCAGCCTATCAGAGCCCACTGCTGGGCATAGGCCTCTACTCACGTGGAGAAGATTTGACCATTCTTGCTCAAGGTAGTGTAGTGATTTCAAACTTATAATTTGAAAAATAACATTGTTACTTGCCAGGTTTTGAAACCGCGCCTTCATAGTACTAAAGACAAATATATAAACATTTATTTAGCTTTGTATATATAGCCTTAAAACTTTTGAATCTTTCACCATAACACTTAAGGATAACAATTTATCATTCATGACTACATTAACAATTTCGTATGTGAATTTGTTTATTAGAAAACTGACAGTAAGTTTAGTTCGATGTTAACCCATTTAGACCGAAAACTATTTTTTTCGAAAAATATGTACTTTTTCTATTTTTATCGTATCATTGAACATTGTTATTAATGAAAAAAATATTAAAAAAAAAATCGATTCCATAGGGGGTCTGAGATGGGCCGTATCCTATGTGATACAGTAGGCTTATATAAAAGCATAAATTCCAGTATCTAAGGCAAAAAGTATTTATTGACAAAAAATAAACACTATTATTTTTTGGTACGATAGGTAAGAAAACTATCAATATGAAGTCCAATATTGCACTTTACACATCTTGCAGGACATGATCGATGACCCTTTTCATCAAACCTCGTATCCATGGTTAGTGAGGATGGTCTGCTAGGGCCTGGTTTACTTCCAAGGGTATTTGATTCTATAAGTGCGATAGCTACGCGACGCCTGAAAGTCAACATATCGACATTACCACCATTATATTTGTATAGTAGCCACGCGTTCTGAAGTGACATGTCTATACAATGCAGAATGAGTGGCATATACCACTTCTTACCGCGAAAACTTGTCCGAAGAGATGATATGTTTTGTCTAAAAGATCAACACATCAACAATAAGATCATTTTTTGTATCAGGTGTGTTTTCCTAGTTCATACGTCTTCTATTTACTTGACAGTAGCCGCTTACTAACAAAATGCCTATAGCACACTTCATTTCTTCCATTTTCATATCAACGGGAAGATATTTGCTTCCTAAGTATTTATTAGTCTCAGTAGTGAGTAATAGATAAAGATCTTCTGAAAAAAATAAAGAAAACCATTAGATAGGCGACCTTTGATTAGGAACATGGAACATAGGTTTCCATGTCGGTTTTGCTTCGGTGAAGATTTTTTTTCTCCAATTGTACTTTTTGGATGTTTAGCGTAGTGGTTCGCAGAAACCTGGCTCTTGATCTACTTCAACTCCAAGACCTGATTGTTGACTTTTAAAATCTTCTGAATTTGATTCATGCAACTCAGCATTCGTTCTCAACAAGCTCGGTGGTAGGTTGTTGATTTCGACGTTATCTTCGTCTCCAAAATCTTCATCAGTCAACAACCCGTTTGCATTTTCAGGTGGTAGTAAATAAATATCATTTTCTGTGAAACTATTTTCGATTTCATCTTCTAACAGAATGACAATTTCATTCAATGTAAGTCTGAAATGAGAAATATATTGTGCGTATTAGCCTACTGTATCAAATACGATACACTATAGTTTATCAGTAAAAAGCATGCAAAAATTTCCAAGAAATAATAAAACTAAATCACTCAATTTAATCTTTAACTTGTATTCTAATTATAAATTGTTATAAATATGAGATAATTTGAAAAAATATTGCATTTCTTACCGTTTTGATACCATCATATGATCACAATGCACAAATCACTAACAAACCATGTATGTAGTCAACTTGTGTATTCGACTATAACAAATAAACTCTTCTAGGAATGTTGCACAGACCTTGCACTTCACATTGGTTCCAAATAAAAACAAATTTCTATCGACGGAACTTCAAAATAATTTATTACTTTTGGTGTATCGTATGTGAGACGGTAGGTCTAAATGGGTTAACTTGTAAAACCTAAGTTGTAACAACGTCGACCGAAAGATACAGTTTCTAGATGTTATATGTTTATTTATTTTTCGTCAGTTTTCAGTTTTCTAACGAGTGCAATAAGGTTAAAAAACATTATAAGAAATATTATTAATTTAATATTTGAGAATTTAAAGATATCTTTATATGTATATTTATTCAGTTTCAATTGAAAAGAAAAAGTCCAAAAATTTGGAAAAATGGCTACGAGAGTGACCTTCACTAAAACGAGAGCTATGGCTATAAAGGTAAAAAATGTTGTCGATATAAATGTTGCAATTTTTATTATTATTTCATTTTCTTAAAAATTATAGTTCAGTTAATATTTACAGTTCAAAGGCAAATTAAAACCTGCCATCTTAGAGTTTACTTGACTTCTACTGTAATAAACAAAGTGATACTATTTTCCTTTACGTTATATAAGAAGTATGATGAGTATAATGGAGGGGACGGCGCGTACGCAGTCCCCACTACCAAAAATTACGCGTCCGAGTTATCCACATTAGGGATAATCACAGAGGTCAACCCCGCCGCAGTGCAATGGAGGGGCCTCGCTCTGGGGGAACCGCCTTCATGATCACGGTATCCCCTACGCCAGGTAAGTATGACTTCACTACCTCACGGCCACCGAGTCATTCAAAGAGCAGAAATCTTACTAGCGCGATGTAGGAATACGAGCCTTATACTAGCGACACCCCTCGAGCGTATTACAAATGACCTATGTAGAGAGTAGAAAGTGTGAAGAGCATACATTTCTTCTAAAAATGAAGGACTCTTCATATTTTTATATGATTATACTTTTACTTTTGTCCTTATTAAGTTTTTCGTTTCGGCGTGATTCGAGCTGATAATGTATTATATTTTACGGGGCCTTATATCACGTTTGAAGTGTTACTCGTGTGATGACAACTTTTACGACAATTATTGCACTCAAATAAAATGTAAAGAGAAGCAAACTTTAAATAGAGGACTGTCGTATGTACAAATCGATGAAGGATAATTCTCAGGGGAGATTATGCTTAACATGTCTGTTGCAGTTATTTACCAGTTAGGTTCTGGTATATTATGGATAGACGACCCTCAAATTTGAGATGTTCCAATGGATGTTACACTTTAATAAGCACGGCTTAAGCAAATAAAAATATATTCTCAAGTATAAAACACATATGATTTGAGTGCAGCCATTACGACTGATATTAATTATTTCAAAAGGAATTCATTTTAACATAATATTTACGAAACCATTTTTCTTTTATATGAAAGTACATGCTTGTATATCAAATAAAACAAGTTGTGGTTACATGTAAAGTTTGTCACATAAAACTTAATTATTACACTTACATTGGATACTGACAAAAATATTTACGGAATTAAGAAAATTATGGATGATAAGTTGGTCTGATTATATAAATATATGTATATTGTGGAACGTTTGGAATTAGGTACATTTAAATCTTGATTCGCCTAATTTTTTAAATTTCATACACATCCGGTTGTTTGTAGATGAATTTGTTACCGCTTAAGCAAGCATCAAAACTTTTATGTCTTGTTTTGGTATCGTTTATGAATGAAAGATAGCGATGTTCAATTAATTATTGATGGCGACCGTTGCTACCCTTATAGACTTATATTTTTATAGAATTTTATTTTATGAATCTATTACTATATTTAAATTCTTTAAGTAGAATCATAAATCCTTCAACCGATGCACGGCGGACCTCCATCCCTTAGTTGTAGATTTCCCTCGCATCCGAACGAACTATACGCTTCCTCCTTCCTCATGGGCACATCGAAAGATTGGAATAGTTTATCTACTACGTCTGTGTTTCCTTTAACTTTAATATGGGTGTCTTCAAGAAAAGGGTGAATAAGCTACGACAGTACGTTTGACTTCTACGACTTCATTTCCACCTTCCAACGGGTGCAATATCAACCAAGCCCTATACAGTTGATATTAAAACAAAAAAATATAGGTACACAAACTATAACAAGTTTGGAACATTTATTGGAAGACGAATAACACATCGACATTAGTTTGAATCTGAATTGAATTAAATTGAATAGATCAAATGTCTTTCATAGATGGCCCATTTTTTCGAGGAATGAAGTGGTTATTACAAGATTACACATTGGTTATTTAAATTTAAATTTAAACACAATATTATAGAATCAATTGTACCTTAGTGTGACAGATTTAGCGTTAACACCGAGTTAAGATTGTCTTAAAAGTATGTATTAAAGGATGTAAACTATCAATTTAAGCACATGACTTAAGTCAATACTTTCTATCAAATTTCAATTGTTGTTGTTGTCTTGTATCCGTAAAGAAGCTTTGCTTTCACTGTTGTTTCATTAAACCTTAGCCCACTTCTTCATTATTTTAAGTTATGGTTTAAATTAGAAATGAAATAAGACTCAGTGAAAAGGTCTGGTATCTGGATATAAATGACTAATTCTATCTTGAAATATTTAATATCATGTTTCTGTTATCAGTGTATGTATTTGGAAGATACGAGGTTGTGTCGCAAAAGTTTTTGATTCATAAGAATGATAAATATCATAAAAATAAACGTTTAAGTTGGAACATATTGAATTTTTAGTATTTCCATGCGGTTCAGGTTTATCCTAGGAAATGAAGCGATTTTGAAATGTAAAATAAATGACGTTTTAACATCCGTGTTAATTGAAGAAACTTTTAATATTTGTACTTACTTGGAATTACAAATATTATTTCTAAACTGAAAACTCCAGCCTTGTTACATAGAAATTAAGGTGCGGAAGGGGTTTAAATGTGTTTTACTCGTAGTGTTTGCAAGGGTTCCTGGAAAGGGTTCAAACCTTACTTTTTTCTAATGGACAAAACATATATAAGTAATTGATTATTATTATAATTCATTTTTACTTTTGTTGTAGAAAAATTTGTTAATAATTTTAAATGAATACTATCAGACACCTTCTATCGGGAATCTTTTATGCAAGACAATTTAACAAACACGATCTTACTTAAAGTATTATACCTGATTTTCAAATGTAATATTTATGTGTATTTGGTAAGTTGTCACAACAAACCTGGTGATAAATGTACCTTGAACGTAGTTAGTGTCGTTGTGAGTAAGAGCAAGTGAATAATAATTAAGTGTTTTTGGAACCGTTTGAGTTAAATTATCTTGTAATTGGTCAAAATGAAAGATTTTAATAATCATTGATTTAATAGAATTAGTAAAAGTTCTGCCACCAGAAGGTTCATGTTAAATTACATAGTTCATAGAGCGTACGTAAGAATCAGATCTCAGATGTGTTAATGTTTACTGTACACACTAATATTTACATATATAGTAAATGTGTTGTCGATCAGAAAATAAGAAGGTCTGGGCAACTGGGACCTTGGAATGTAATATTATTATACTTCGTTTTGTAGGGGGATGCGGTTTTTGATTGGAATGATTAAACCGAAAATATTAACCATAATTAATTAGTTTACATCGATACTAAAGGGTGAATATGGAATACTTCAACAGTAATCCATATTCAACTAATAATAATCATAGTAGACTTCTACTGTAATAAATAAAGTGCCACTTTAAATTTTGTAGGAAGTTATGATATGAGTTATGGAGGGGACGGCTCGTACGCAGTCCCCACTACCAAAAATTACGCGTCCGAGTTATCCACATTAGGGATAATCACAGAGGTCAACCCCGCCGCAGTGCAATGGAGGGGCCTCGCTCTGGGGGAACCGCCTTCATGATCACGGTATCCCCTACGCCAGGTAAGTATGACTTCACTACCTCACAGCCACCGAGTCCTTTAGAGAGCAGAAATCTTACTAGCGTGATGTAGGAATACCAGCCAGCCACCACTCGAGCGTATTTGAAACTAACAATGTAGAGACTTACACACTACTACACAAGTAAAACTTTTGCAAAAGCATATAGAGTACAAGGTTCGGCATCTCTGAATAATATTTTGTGGGAATGGTTACATATTACTTTGTTAAAATAATTGATAATAATTTGGGTCTGGAATCATAAAATAAGTTACGTCTAACATAAACGAAAGTGTAGGGTATACAAAAATTAAATAATGTCTAAGCGTCTTTAACAGTATGATTCATTTATTTTTCACAGAAATAAAGGAATGTTTTTTATTGTAAAATTTTTTATAACTCTATTTTTATAGATCTCTATCTTTATAGAGTACTAAAGTACTGTAAATAGTCCACATGTAATAAATGTATAACTAGCGCCATCTATTGGTGTTTTTTGAAAATAATAAAGTAGAGCTTATCTAAAATTGAAATTGAAGAGTTCTTTCTTAATTTAACGAAACTCGAATTCAGATGAAGAGAGTCGATAGAGTTAAAAGTTTTTTAATCCTTAATACCCACCTCGTGGATCTATGTATTTACTTAATATAAGAAAGTGACCTTTAAATCATATTTGCCAATATTTTAGAAATCATTGTAGTTATTAAATTAACAAATCTTATTGTAAAAGTAATAATTACAAGGTATATAAAGATATTAAAATGTTACATAAAGATATTCGATAAGGAATATAAATAAAAAATCGCTCTTCGATGCAAAATATATTAATTTGCAAATAGAAAATGCCATGACAAATTTTATGTTTTTTTTTTTATAAAAATTATTATGTTTATATCTCACTATTATTTTTCCTTTGAATTTTCCTGTCGTGATAAATGAGTGAAAACAATGACTTTTGTTCATTAAGTTCTATATGCAGTCCCATAAAAATAACGAACGCAAAACTAAAACTAACATATAAAGTTCTGTAGAAATAATTTCTGTAGAAACTGAGTAATGCGGAAATACAATTAACGTTGAAATTATATGCTGTTTGTTCAGATGTAAAGTTATGGGAACAAATGTAAAAGATTTAGATATGATCTGAATGTGCATTAAATATATTATATTGTATTTGATAAAACAAAACAAACATAAGCGCAACTGTATACTTGAGAGCTCAGAAAATATTAACAAAAAAGATAATTTACATACATAGGTTTTTAATATATTTCAAAATTTGAGAAATATAGCTTTCGGTTGGGTTTTAAGCCAGATTTCAATAAAATGCAATTAATTACAATTACATTATTAAAAAAGTGTCAAAAGATCCAGGAAAAATCAAATTATTTATTTCATATGGATTCCATACCAATTCTAATCACTTTTACAATTTTTCATGCTGGATAATTGTACACATTTGTATAACAATCAGCGGTTAAATTTAAATTAAGATAAAACTTGTATTACACTCAATAAATATATCATAATCAATAGCTGTTAAAACCTATGATACACTTAAAATAGGAATTTGAATTGAAATTGAATGTAAATTATTTTATTATTTCTTATAAAACTATATAATACCTATATGTACAACAGATGGTTCCTTAATATTTTAAATAATATATAATGTACACAAGTTTCCGTGGTGTAGCGGTTATCACATCTGCCTAACACGCAGAAGGTCCCCGGTTCGATCCCGGGCGGAAACATAATTTTTACATTCGCTTTCTTAACGTCTTACTTAAAAATACTAAAATAATTTGCATTTTTCAATTGCATTTTTTTACTAATTTACTGTGATGGTGCTTTTTTTAAAGAAAATCAAGAATTATATATAATGTCAATGAGAAATCGAAATGTAGAATAATAGCTGTTTTCAGGAACAAATTGTACAATAATAGTTTTTTCAGGAAAGGAAAAAATCCTTAAAAGTGTTTTGAAGTTGAGCACTTTATTATCTTTTAGCCAATCTTAGTCCACTTTTGGACATAGGAATTGGGAGAAGCACTATATAAGACATGGAAATTATCTGCTTTAATTTTCACTGTTCTATCAAACTACGGATAATAATCACTACGTTTTGCATTCATAAGGAAATTAATTTCAATAAAATAAATCTATGTATACTACTATACATGTAACCAGCTCACTGTAACGTTTAATAATAAATATCAAATGATATATTTTTATAGTTACGTTTTGCTATCAATATAAATGCGTAACAGAACTTTTTCAATCAAATGTCATTATAATTATCAAATCATAAAATATACAAATAATACAATATCCTAAACAAATTACTATTAAGATTAGACAACAAATTTATAATGTGATTGAAAATTATAAAACACGTAGGTACATAATAAAATATTAAAATATATTTAAAGGCATTAAAACGAAGAAAATAAAATTTGAATGCAAACAATAAAAGTTTGTCTCGACATTACAAACAGCAACTTTCCCGTCTAATAAGTAATATTTAATTGCAACAAAAGAAAATACATTACATGTATTAATTTGAAAACAAAAATAATGAACGAATATACGAAAAGGAATATTTTCAATACAATTAGTCTCTCGGCGCGACATACATATATATGTTTGTGTTCTCTAGTGTTTTTAATTTAACATACTAATAGGGCAAGTTAAATAAAATACATTACATTTACTTCGACCAAACAATAATGTGTAATTAACTCTTTTTATTTTCCAAATAAAAATTTTTTATAATTTATTAACAAGAAGACCAAGTCAAGTTTAGTAGAATCTCGTTTTAACATTTATTTAAATTATAAAGGTGAGTTTACAGAAAACGAAACAACTTTTGTAATAAGATATTCGAACGAGTGAAATGTAGGGTGAAGGGTGATCAAAAATAAACTGTAAGTTGTTTTATAATTATCAATTTGCTTTGTTTATCATGTGATTTATTTTATTACAGTATTAAAATGTATGTGTGTGTTTATTCTATAGCAGACACTTATTGGTTTTTTTATTGTTTTTTATTTCAAAATATTGCTTTAATAATCTTATTTTAGATTTTAAGTTCTTGGCCTCAATAATATTTTTCAACGAAATTATGTCAATAAAAGTAGTGAATTAGACAGGAGTCATGACTTCATTGACTGAGTGTGATATATTTTTTTAGTTTGCTATTTTCACTGAAGTATTGCTTACTGACGTTCAGGAAAACCACCCTTCAATGCTCTACTAGCTACATAATTCATTTATAATAATATCAATAGATGGTGTTACTAAAATTTTGCTCTACACAGTTTCTTTGCTCTATATTGCTAATGTCTTAAACGCTCGAGTGATGGCGCTAGCGAAAAAGGCTCGCATTCCTACATCACGCCAGTAAGATTTCTGCTCTCTGAATGACTCGGTGGCCGTGAGGTAGTTAAGTCATACTTACCTGGCGTAGGGGACACCGTGATCATGAAGGCGGTTCCCCCAGAGCGAGGCCCCTCCATTGCACTGCGGCGGGGTTGACCTCTGTGATTATCCCTAATGTGGATAACTCGGACGCGTAATTTTTGGTAGTGGGGACTGCGTACGCGCCGTCCCCTCCAAAACAATATCTAAAGTAGGTAACACTGCTTAGGTTATACACTGGTGCTCGTAAAACTTGTATGACAACCAGTAATCATATTCTAGCATACAGATACAATCCTTATAATAACTTGTCACTACAGATTGATATCGTTACAATCATCTCATACATATGTGTAAACGTAACATATGGGTATTGTTGAATAATATTCTTACATTGACATCTGCCGTGTCATGACGGTGCGTGATGTTTTCTAATAGAAATAGTTTACAGCTCAAGATCTCTAAAACCCGTCATCAGAGCTGGTAATATATTTGAGATATAATATATTCAATACAATATTTTGACATCAGAAGCTTGAGGAGAAGATCGCGTGTGTGACGACACATACTTTAATTTTACAACAACAACCTAGGGTACGTTAAAATATCGGATGTCTGTCATTATTTAAATCTTTATCGCGGAAATCTAATTAATAGCCGCGAACATTTCAGAGGCTACATATATGTTAACTTTCTGGCTCGAATCATTGCTTGAAGACAAGAGCATAATATGGGGTCAATGTCCGACTGTTGTTGTATATTCCAATATTTAATACAATCAATTACAATTAATTCAAAGTTATTTGAATAATTGTACCCAAGTATTTGTCCTAATCTCATGTTCTTCAGAAAAAACCTTCGTTATAACACATATTAAACGCCATCTTCATAATGATCAATGTCAGACATTATAAATCGATCTGTTTATTTACGACATCAGGAAAAGAGAGAAATCAATACAAGAATTAACAAATTATTAAGATTTGGTAGTGTTAAAAGAGTACTTTGAATTTATTTCATTTTGTAATCTCATTTGATGTTCAATGAGCCATTGAAATATTTAAGCATCACTATATTAAGGTATTACCTAACATAAATGTGATAATAATGCCTCTCAGACGGAATTTCCGGATTACAATTAGTAATTATATTTTAAATTAAAGTAAATTAGCTCCGTAATAGCTCGTAAAAATAAAATATAACATATTTTTTATTGTCAATAGATAGATCCTTACAACAAGTAAAAGTTTTTCTACTGATCATATGTACGAGTATATAACTGAAAATAATTTGAGTTTATTTATAAAATCGGGTTTTAATTAAGCATCTAATCACGTTATTAGTTTTGGAATTTTCTAAAGGTTATTGTCTACTGACACTCTTTATAGCATACAAAATAAATATTACCATATTTAATATTGTATATCACTTATAAAGCTTTATATAAGCAAGGACGAGAAGAGTATTCAAAGCAACTGTTTTTGATAGTCCAGTATCGATAGTTTTTAAAACCAAATAAAATAGTATGATGAAACAGATTAGAAAAGGAGGGGAGTAGTATTATAATGTAAGAAAAATAATTTACGGGCGATCTGATATCGAGAAGGGTATGAGGGTGAATATTTAAGGGTATGAGGGTTGACTTCCGGCAAAACTAAAAGTCCTATAAAAAGAAGTCACATGACTAAGTTGCAGGTAATAAAAAAGATCTAAAACATTTGTATAAACACTGTTTTCACATAAGCCCAAAATTTGTGTAAAATTCAAAAAACCTATTTTTACTATTTTATTTTTATCATTAACAATACATATTATTATTTATAATATCCATATATTTCGTGTTGTAGACAGTTGACAGTCTGTCACGATGAAACTGTAAACTTTAACCATAATGAGAAGTAAATATTGGCTCTAAAGGCTTAGTATCGAATAATTAAACAGTAATTTGACATTCTATTAATAATAATCATATTTGAAGTCCTTGGTCCATTAATAGTTGGTATGTTTTAGTTTTTCGTCAGTAAAGGTTTCATCCTGCTTCTATTTTGTACTTTAAAAATTATTAAGTTTAATGAAGGGGACGGCGCGTACGCAGTCCCCACTACCAAAAATTACGCGTCCGAGTTATCCACATTAGGGATAATCACAGAGGTCAACCCCGCCGCAGTGCAATGGAGGGGCCTCGCTCTGGGGGAACCGCCTTCATGATCACGGTATCCCCTACGCCAGGTAAGTATGACTTCACGACCTCACAGCCACCCAGTGATTCAGAGAGCAGAAATCTTACTAGCGCGATGTAGGAATACGAAGCCTTTTTACTAGCGACACCTCTGGAGCGTATTAGAAACTAAAAAGGTAGAGACTGTTCATGTAAATTATACGGAGTATAGATTCGGAAGCTCTGAATATTATTTGTGGGAAAGGTTAAGTAAAGTATGATAAATTTATTTTTATACTTAATAGAAATAGAGGAATATAATTTTTTGTAATACTTTTTATACCTCTATAATCTTTCCGCACACGAGTTTTTATACAGTACTTGGCAATACAGATCTAATGCCATCTATTGGTAGTTTTTGGTAACAATAATGTTGAGCTTTTGTAAAATAAAAATTGAAGACTTTTTCTTAATTTACTGAAAGTTAAACTTGAAATTGTAAGAAGAGGGTTAAATGTTCTTTTTAAGCCCTAATACTCCACTCGTGGTTCTCGATTGCTTTTTAACATAGAAAAAAGGTCCTACAGATCATATCAAACAAAACTTTATAATTATTGTGCAGTCATAATATATGAATAAATCTCTTAAACAACTTATAATTGAAAGTGAATATAGTTCATTATTTTTAATATTGTCTTTCACTAGTATCGGATTATACTTACATTATTTGGAGCGAAATAGTTATATGTAAATTTCAATTTCAAAAACAGATTTTACAAAATCTGTTTATTAAATTAAAGATACAAGTAAAAAAGAATATTTAAAACGTTGTTACTAATTCAATAAATTCAAATTGTTTATTATGGGATTATAATTATATGAATATGGCTTATAAAATATATTACTATTATAGAGTTATTATAAAATTGTTGTATGATCAAAACAAGATCTCTTAAATGAATCGACATATTTATATCAATGAATGATTCAGCGTTCTCGCTGATTAATAAAAAACATTAAGGAGTCATTTTAAATCAAAACGTTGCCGTGTGTGGTTGTTTTTTATGATACTAAAACTCAACTTGTTTACGAAGTGATGATAAAAAATTGAATCACACAAATATGGATGTAGTACTCCAAGTCGGTGTATTTATTGTTGCTGTTATTTTTTATTTGATTTTCATAAGAAAATATGTGATAAATAAAGGACTTTATGGACAAGCAGGTAAGTGACTTCTCTGTTATCTAATGAAACGTTTGATTGTGATAAAAGCAATTTACTTTATTGATAATGTTAAGGGTCAAGGTACGAACTATTTGGTTTGTGTACTATTTGATATGAATATACCGGTCACTGTTATATCTTTATATGACCGGTATAAAATATTATTGGAACCTGCATATATATTATTTAATGTTTTGAACTCTAAACCTGTTTATTAATACTAATATTAAATCGAAGGGAATAAACAATTTTTTCATAAGTTGAATACATTTTTTTAATAAATTTGACCTCCAGCCAGGTGTTATATTGAAGGTTTTCACTTATCTTTATAGTTCTTTGATCCGATATTTTTTACATGGAGGGTAAAAAATAAATAATTTGTTAGTAAACAAACAAACAAAAAAGGTGTAATAAAACATTAGGTGTTTTATAATTTTAGGATGGAATTATCCCTTTAAAGTATTATTGGCCTGGTTTGCGATTAAGAGATGGAAATCAAGTTTAACCTCTCTCCCTCTGAGTGAATTACCCTATGTGGGTCAGAATCATGGTTGTGACGGTATTTCATTAAAAGCGTCTGCTCCTGACAGTTCAACTGTAATTGTGGGTATCCGAAAAATATGTAGCAAGAAAAATGTTGCTGAAGTTACTGTGTTTATAAAATTGTCTGATGGAACGACTTTCAAATTACCTCGTAAGTATTGGTTGAAACAATTTTATCTCATCCATTCTATTGTATTCATTACTAACTGTTACGATCTTTATTTGTAGAACATCCCGAAACCGCAGTCAGTGAATGGGTGAATACTGCCGGTTGTTGGAATGCTGGAGGGCTGAAGATTCAAGAATTAGAACCCCAGAAAAGTTTAAGAATTCTTTTTAATGGCGTTCTTATTCGAGCCCAAGACAATAAATCGTATCATGTTAAGATGAATTTGTTGTAAGTATCAATGAAAATTTCGGCCTCATATAATTAATATTTGATAATATTTCACTGAGTATTGCTTTTTTTTAATTCGTTCTGAATTTATAAATTATTACCGCGTTACTATTTTAAATGGAATAAATGTCCGACGTTTTAATATTGTACAATTTATAAAGCTTCATTAAAACAGATAGCCGGTAACAGTTGAATGAAGCATTAATTGCGTAGTATTTTTCCATTACTCGAAGTCACATTGTTTATTTTAGTATCGATAACAGTTCAACTGATTAAATTTAGAAGAAAATGTCTGTTTCAAAATGAGACATATGTAAAAATTGGCTGTATAAGAGCGATATAGTTTGTAGTAGTAGTTCATTCGTTGTAGTTCATATTACTCTGCTAATGTTATAGATGGGCGTCCGCAACAAGTGTGCAACGTTATCCTGAAGATTGGAATGATTGTCTGGCAGCGAAGTATTTGGCCTTGGAGCCTTGGACCAATGAGCAATGGCCGTTTATGCTGTAAGATAATTTCTATTTATATGTCTTTATCTGCAATTCTTTAACTAGCCCTTTTATTAAATATACAGTTACACCTGAATTAACAAAACTGAGAAATTGCTATGTCTTTCTTTGGTGTTGAAATAAGTAAGACGTTGAAATGTTTTTATATTTCATTACAGTAACAGATGCGTACAAGGTTCCGGCAGCTGGCTGCAGTTTGGAGCGATACAAGGTCGTTTCCAATCCTTCGATGTAAACGGTGACATCCATACAAATGAGTATCTTCGCGTTCGTGGTGCTAGAGAGCGGATATGGTCTTTGGGTAGCAGAGATCGAAGGCGCAGTGTGACTATAAATGTATGTACAAGGGACGGCACGGCGGTCCAAATTCGTGGACTATCGTATCACAATAATTTTACACAGTAAGTATTTAAAAATAATATGTCTGTGACGATAAATTATATGATGGGTTTATCGAACTGATTTTAATTAATATAAAAACAATTACATTGTATATCATTCGATAACGTTTAAAAATGCTGTCGCTATGAAGATTAGCTTATCAAAGTTGGTATTATCTCATGTTAACTCATAAAGATTTCGAGTACTTATCTAAATCTGTGTTTTATCTAAATCAATTTTTTCCCAGGTGTTTATACGGAAGCGTTAGATTACCAAATTTTCTTATGACAAGTGTAAAATCTTGCGATTTAGTTTTGTCTGAATTTTGTGAAACAGCCGATGAAATACCTAAGACTTTTACAATTAACGTTACCAGTAAGTGTGTTTTTTTGTGTAAAATATATATTCGTTTTCTTTATATCTCTGTAACATACATTAAGTATCTATTTAACAGCATCCAATGGAAGGACATTAAAGTTAGTTCTGCGAATCAAAGACGGCGGTACACTTTATACAGGAGTGCCTCACGAACAAAGTATCATATACCGTACTTTAGAAGTAGACATCAATGGAGAACACGGCACTGGCATTCTTGAATTAGGATACGAATGTTTGGGTAAATTTTTGCATTAATTTGGGATACGAAAAATTTTATTCGCTCAGTAACTATATTTATTATTTAATAGTAAGTTAAAGCAGTAATTTGGGAAGAATATAACTGTTTTGAATTAGGTTTAGATTTTTCTTTCAAATATTTACATAGATACATAATGGCATAGTAAAAGTTCAAAGTGATTTGAGGAAAAACTTCTTTTTCTGGTCTAACGACAAACTGTTAATAAAAGACTATTTTAAGTACTAATATTAGTCTTTAAGATGAGAAAAAAAGCTTCCAAACGGGTATTGAGAACATTTCAAGGAGATTAAAATATTGTAATGTATGTTTCAGATGGTTCAACACCATCCAACATAAAGCCTTCCCCTACATTGCGATGGTTGAGCGAGGATGAGGCGGGATCGGTCGGAAACTGCGTTTCTTTGGACAGTAGTAGTGCTGCTTGTATTCAACTCACTGGAGGAAAAGCTGCTTCACTGGCATTATTAAGTTCTGTACAAGAAGAACAGGTAAACATATATCTAAACGGCCTAGTCCATGACTACATTTTGCACTTTTCCCGTATTAAGTATAGTAAAGTAAATGTTTCAAAAATGTAGACAATTTTGAATGAATTGTAAAAATTTATATGTTGACTATTGATGTCCGAATTGTATTCGTTACGATTTTAAATTAATTGAATTGTAATTTGATAGATTACCTTCGATATTATTTTTGCATTCCAAAACAATTGTTACGTTTTCCTCCTTATTGATATGTGTATAAACATTTCTTTCAGGGATACAAAGTTCCTCCGGGTTTTTGTATAACCACAAAAGCGTTATGTAAACATTTGGAAATTCACACATCTATTAAGGACGCTATTTCTGAAATCGAAGCATGTAATAAGGATTATGATGAGAACATTTTCAAAGAAAAATGCTCAAGGTATTAATTTTCTCCGTCGATCGATTAAAGCGTTATATTTTTTATAACATGATTATGAATAGTTACTTAAATCATATTTCAGAGCTGTAGAACTGTTTCTTAGGACTGAAATAGTGGAAGATGTAAGGAACGATATTTTGTCATATCTCCGCGATTTAAGAAACAAATACGAAAGTGAAGAACTTTTCACACCATTGCGATTTGCAGTTAGATCGTCGGGTAATGAAATAAATTTTTATATATTCTTAATATATTTTGAATATATTAAATATCACGACTTTTTCAAAGGGCGTTCATTTTAATAGTAACATTTTTTATAACAGTGACCACACTGTGAATCACCAGATTGAGGATATGGTCCACTTGGTTGTGGGTATAATTAAATTTATATTTAAAAGCTTTTATTTGTATAAATAGGTGTAGGTGAAGATAGTGAAGCGTTATCAGCTGCCGGTCAGAATGAGACGGTCTTGGGTTGTGTCACTGATGATGATGTTCTGCGAGGAGTGAAGAAATGTTGGGCATCAATGTTCGCTTACACTAGCGTATATTATAGAAGGTTTGAAAACGTTTTGATTATCTATTTAGTCTGACAAAAACTCCTTAGGGTCTGAGATTAATTGAAAAACTAATGAAAACTTCTAAGCAATCTTAAAGCTACTAAAACAGTCATTAATTTTATGAAAACCGTTGAAAAGATAGAAAGGTAGTCAGATAGATAGAAAATTTTACAAATATATTCTTGTACTCTTCAGACAGAATGGCCAGCTGTGTTTTTCTCTGGGTGGAGTGGTCGTTCAGGCCCTGGTGAAGTCACGTGCCGCCGGGGTTTTATTCACGTCTCATCCACCACATGGTGACGTGACACGGATATTACTCACAGCTAATTATGGATTAGGAGAGGTTTGTTTGATAAAAATATATATTACATTATTTGCTATATGGTGGTAGTTCCACTGTTTGCTTTTAACATGCAATTTTTTGAGTCCATAACGTTTTTCCATTACAAGATTGTAGATAATATTATAATACAAGTTAATAAAACTATAAAACAATAAATGAATCCAAACCTTATCGTAATACAAATCAACTTACATATTTGAAGTTCTGTTTAGTTTAATCACTAAAATATATTTTCAGAAATCAATTTTTTAATGGACTATGTTATCATGTTATTATCAAAATTGTCACAGAATCAAAGATTGTAATTAAGTGTGAATACCGCGTTGCTATGTCGTTTTTACGATAACGCACAAAAGGATTAGAATAATTTCAGTCTTTTGACATAAACAAGAATATGAAATTGCGAATGAAACACTACAGGTGTATCTTGACAGAATAAATTAAAGATAGGAACAAAAACATGGTTCTAGGTAGGCAATAAATAAGTTCGCAATACGTATTATTGGGGTCTACGAAAATTTATCTAGGTTCATAGAGAAGAACTCAAACGTTGTCTTCGTTAAATATAACGATATATAGGAGGATAATATTTTTAGTAGTTCAGACAGTCTCACTTGTAAAAAACATGCAAATTTTATTTTCAAAATACATTTTCATAATGCGATCTAATTTTCAAATATTTTTCGAGTTTTGAGTAAATTTTGAAATACAGTTGTTTGGGGATCGCTCAAACTACAAAACTTGTTAAAGTGGTCTGTGAGAAAAAAATAAGAGAACTTCTGAAACAGCCTATAGTTTCAAGGCCGGAATAGCTGGTACGTCAGTGTCGTCTCGATCCTGCAATTAATTTGTTTGAAAATTAAGTTTTTTTAAATTTTAACGTCAGCATTCCTTTAGTATCAAGATGAAAGTAATTAAAATGAAAATATTTTCATTTATTATTGGATCTACGTTGTGAATCGATGATGAATTAATAATAAGTTTCGTTATTAAAACCTATAAAGATCATCCTAGGTTTCAGTGCTTGAAATTTAATTTGAGTATATTTTCATTAAATGTTTTCAGAGCGTGGTATCCGGATCCGTAGAACCTGACTCCATAGTTATAAGACGTGACCTAGATGACACACTTTCCATTCAAAAAATAGATCTCGGATCCAAAATACAGAGGGTTGTGACCAATAACGATGGAGTTTCTTTCGAAAATGTACCTGAATCAGATCGAAATAAATCCTGTTTATCTGAAAACGAAATATTTAAACTAGCAAAAATAGCTGTGGCTCAAGAACGACTGTGGGGAGCTGGAAGAGATATCGAATGGGCCATATTCGGGGTTGGTATCTGTCTTTGAAAATTGTTATGACTATAAAATATCAGAATTTCCCTATCATATCAGTAAATAAATTGTCCACCTTTTAATTTGTATATTGAAATGTATCAAATAGGATGACATATTCCTGCTTCAAGCTAGGCCAATAACATCATTAGAACGTTGGACAGAAGAAGAGCTGTTACATGAATTCGATGATCCTATAATGGCTGACGATGAATTGATTACTTTTGCAAATACAGGAGAGGTAAGAATTTCAATATTATTATTAATGTCTAATTATTCATAAAGAGGATAAAAATTCTAATTCTTTTGGATACCATTTGATGTAAACCAAAGTATCAAATAATAAAGTTATTTACTAAATCAAAAAACCATTTGCAGGTGTTTCCAAAACCTTTGACACCATTAAGTTACGACCTAGTTGTTACTTCTATATTCGGCGCCATTTCTAAATTAATGAGGACAAACGGAGACGGCTGGGATAAAAGTGTTTTATTAACTCACAATAGATGTTCCATTTCACTTTATAATGTAAGTTTATATTAAAAAATATATTTTTCTTTTATTTAATTTGCTAAAAGTAAATCTAAAGTTTGATTTCAGTCAGTATATCGCAGAGCACCAAAAGAAATTAATGTAAATATGCGTATGTTGGAGATGTCTATACATGGACACAAAGTAGCAGATGATGCTATACACGCGACAGCATTGCATAGAAGATCACCCAGTGTTTTCGATACTATAGTTCCTATTTTAGACGCGTTAAAGGTTTGCTTATATAAAATTATAAGATACGTGTGATATACAGTATAGGAAGTTAAAAAATAATATTTATTCATTTTATTATTGCAGACCTAAAGCATAAATAGTTTATTTTGTGATTAGATCTTAGTTTTTTTGGCAACATATATTTATAAAAGAAATTCTTTAATTAACTAACCAGATGGAACTAATTCGTTTGATTGGTTTGGTAATAACTTGGTAATAACACTAAATAATCGTAATCTGAAGTCAACATATTCAAATATTAATATTTCAGCCGTTACTTACCTCTAAATGGGTTATGAAAGAGACGACACGGTTAGTCAGTTCGTTTAACCCGAACGTTGAAACGAATGACCCTCTTAAGTTTTTAGAAGTCATAGCTGGAACTAAGAATGATATTTTGAAGTTCAATATCGGACACTGTACAACTACAGTCGCCTCTACTTTCAGCCAGTTTATAGCTATGACTGTGATGTTGGAAGGACGATCAGGTAAATAAGATTTTTGTAGAAATTAAATCAAGCAACATTTTATATCGTTATCTTAATATACTTATTTTTGATATATTTCAGATTTTACGAGCGAAGAATGCAATGAAGTTAGTACATTATTAAGTTCAGGCGACGCTGTGTCCGCGGAAGTACCTCATGTGCTTGATAGATTAGCTTTAAGTATTGAAGAATCTGGAAAGATTGAAGAATTCCGTAAGCAGAAGCCTGAACAGTCCTTAATATGGTTGAAGCAAAATCTGCCGAAAATTTACGATGACGTGTTATCATTTTTGGATCAACACGGTCATAGGGCTATTATGGAAGTAAGTGTTGTTAAGATCTACTCCTACAACTTTTTATAAATACGTCAGGCGTGTATAAGATATTACATTTTAAGAAAAAGTATGATAAAGGATTGAATGATACAAAATAATTCCAGTTTGACTTAGCAACGAAGCCATGGTCGTTAGTGCCTGAGGATTTGATGAGAGTTCTAATGAATATGCGTCCTACCTCAAAAACTCAGACGTCTAAAAGGATAGATGAATTGATCGCTTCTTTAAAAACTCCAAAAAAAGCTAATACGAAGTAAGGAATGCTGAAGTTAATTTTTCTTTTGTTATTATTTGTTTGTTGTTAATCTCATTTGTTTCTGATAAAGTGGTTGGAGTATTTTTATTTACTGTTAAAAAGAAAATATCCTCTAATAAAATTTACGCCTCATAACGGGTTTGTTACAATTCTACCGGTTTATTATACTTTATGTTAGTGTAACTTGATATTGATGTTATCCCAGGAAAATTCTCCGATGGTTGATGCCGTTTTGCCGCCGCACGGTCAGTCACCGCGAGGGGACAAAGGCACAACTTATACTCGCTGTACACAAACTGAGACTGGCTGTGAGACGGCTTGCGACCATGATGTACCACTCTTGGATGATACCCGATGTAGAACTAGTGTTTTACTTCAGATTACATGAACTTAAGGAGTATATAATAACACGGGATCCTGGATTGTTGAGAAAGTAGCTAACATCGACTTATTCTCGAATTAAAGATTTCAAAGTAAACTATATGAATAAATTTATTCATTATAATTTTTCAGAGCTGTTCAGCGACAACAATATTATACAAAATGGTGTCAACTAAAGTTTTCGGAAATGAATAAGGGATGGCCAGAACCTCTGAAGGTAGAGGGTCCTCGTGTAACAAGTGGAGATGTGAAAATTTTTGCGACCTCGGTATGTCAAGGAGAGATTATTGCAAGAGCGTGTGTCGTGAAAGACCTTTCAGAGGTAAATATCAGATATTTAATACGTAACCGAGTTAAGATGGTACTTAGTTTTTAATAAGATGATTCCATATTCTTGCATTACATATTAATATAAAGAAATAATGGTTCCTTTTATACGTAATACTCTTAATTTACAGATTAATCAACTACGACAAGGGGACGTATTAATAACTCATTCTACAGATATAGGCTGGTCACCCTACTTCCCACTGTTGTCTGGGATTGTGACTGAACTTGGAGGACTTATTTCACATGGTACTATATTGTTTTTATTATTATAGGCGTAAGAAAGATAATTATATGTTAACACACACGAAAATGATTTGTATTTGTTAACAGGAGCGGTGATCGCCCGCGAATATGGACTACCGTGTGTCGTTGGCGCCACACATGCAACTGACATTTTTAATACCGGGGATACTGTCAGGTTGTCCGGAGATCAAGGATTTTTGGAAAGGGTTAAAGTTGATGCGTCAACTTGATAGTTATAGTTTGAATGAATTTGAATGATAAATAAATACTATTACTGTTAAGCATTGTTTTATTATTATACAAGGATTTGTTGTCATTTTGGTAACCTTTTTGTCGCTTATTCTCTACTTAGTATTGTGATTTTGATAAAAACTATTTTAGATTGACAATTTAAAATAATTCATAAAGTTTAGTTAAAATATAGTGAGTAATTCAAAAAACTTACTGTTAGTATTAGTGGACAAAAGGAATGGGTCTGGTTATATTGGTCGGGCTGATACTGAGCGTCCACTCCCGGCCGCTATCCCACTACTGCCCGATACGGGGACTTTTGGCTGCTGGGTTTCCCCCCTGGCCCGGTTCGCCCCTCCTTAGTTAACCTGCACCCCCCAGACTCCTCCGGGGGGTCCCCATATTAATACCAAGCTTAGTGTGGACGTCCAGTCAACATGGACATCTCAGCACCAGGACTCCCAACCTCAAACCATCCTCCAACCCCGACCTCCGAGTAGCCGGATTACAGGAGACGCCACGCTCCCAGTCGAGAGAGTCTTTGAAAATGTGTAAGCGTATGTACAAAAGAAAAATTGTATCTTCAAATCTAAGCCGTATTTTAATGTTTAGTTATTTTTTATTATTATACTTTTTGTATTGTACTTAAGTTTTAATGTATTTAGTGTATTAACTTAATATTTTTAAATGCTATATTTTGTGTTCAGTTATTTTATAAAAACATGTTAGTATCTAAGTCGTAATATGAAAGTAAAGGTATATAAAAATATAAATACGAGATTAAAGAATAGAATAGAAATTGATTAATTCTTTTTATTACTCATCGCTGACTTTAAAACAAATACATTATAGACTATTGGTACATATAAAGCATCGCTTCTGACAGTCCTTGTAGGTTGTAAACAGTTCGAGACTTATTTGGTACAATAGCCTTTTTGTTTAGATACTAATAGCCATTTTAAAAAATAGATCTCACAGTTACAATAACTTGTATAAAATGTTATTAAGGTTTTTCAATGTCAGTCATTTTCTCCTTCTCCATCTCCTTTTCATTTTTCATTTCCATATTTTCGTTCTTCATTTCTACAGGTTTCTCTATTTTTTCTTCCTTCTTTTCCATAATTTCAATTTCCTGCATCTTCATCGGTTCATCTGATATTTCAGGAATAGCAGAGCGAACTATCGGAGGCGGAATTTTAGATTCTTCCTTCTTCTGTAATTATAATGGCGAATATTTGAATACGTATTGAATGTTTACTTAAGGAATTTTGATAATTTTATGCTCGAAAATTAAATTGTATGACTAACCTCAATAGGAATTTCAACGTTGGGTATAGGATGCATGTTTTTGGCATCTATACTGACTTCAATTGTGCCTTTTAATAGTGCGGGATCAGCGGCGATTTCGGGAAGAACATTGCAGTCAGCTTGGTTGGTCCTCACGAAGAAAGTCCTAGAAATTCTGAAGCGTTCCAGAGCCGAATATGCGCTTTGTAACACCATCAATGGAGGGATTCTTTCACGAGTCAGAATCCAAGCGTTTTCTAAGAGAAATTGTTAAAAAAACAACTATTATTGTATGTTATAATCTTTGCTATTAGATTCAATTATAAGAAGATATTGCATAAAATTTTACAGCGTCTTTTACGATTCTGAATGCTAATGTTGGTTAAATTGATTTTATTCAATAATATTCTTTATACTACAAAGATACATACGGATATGAACTGGTCCAATGCCGCTGCAAGACCACATGACTGCATAGTTATCGTAATCAGTATCCAGGATGCTGAATTCGTTGTCATAAGTTCCTGGTAGTGCTGTATATTTGATCATCATGCGTCCTTCGCCCTCTCTTCCAATCAGTTGCATTGAACCTTCCAATAGACGTTTCAGTCCCGTTCTGAAGTACGATTTTATTTAAATATTATTGTTTATTAACGTACGGTTTTATGTCTCATGTTGTGGTAGTATACTTACAAAGAATTTGTAATCTCATTGGATACAAGGATTCTTCCTTCTGGAGTACTGTCGTATTTTATTTTAACGCAACGGCTACCCAACTCGGATACTGTGAAGTAGCGCTCGGATTCATACCAAGTTCCAAGAAAACGGTTCACGTTAAAGTTTGCCATTGGCTGGAAGTGAAATAATTTTGTTAACAGTCTTGTAAATTGTAATTTTCAACGATCATAAAGAGGTATATTTTGTATTTAGATAAAGATTTATATACTTGGTTGATGTTTTTTAATGAATGTAAAAATATAGTCCTAAAAGATCACATCGAAAATAAGAGAAAATATGATTTTCAAAGGATCAATGATCATCATCAGTATGTTTACCTCAAGTTAGCATGGCCACAAGGGTTTTTAATAATATTTTATTTATAAATCTTTCGCATATTTTCGTATTAGACAATTTAAAAACATTACAGCTTTGTATGTAGTGTGACGATGCAATCTTGTGTTTAGCACACTACTTGTTAATATTCGAGGTATAATATGTTATTACTTAAGGTCTTACATAAGTATATAATATTATGTTGGCATTAAAAACTCCTGTAGTTATACACGATAGTTAAATTATAACGTTTTTTTTTATATTCTTATTAAAAACATGTCTTTACTGTTCTATGTAGTAATATATCAATAAAAATATGAAGTTTTTAAGAAAATAAATATTGTCATTTTAACTATGAAAGTTAATAAAAATTTAAATATAAAAAGAAATTATATAGGCTTTGACAAATGGCTACTAACCTGGTAGTCTGGGCACCATCCTAGAGATGGTATCTGGGCGGAGGCAGTGGCAGCCAAGAGGAGCACGAGAGACAGCATCTTGAAGACCAGATGTGATCAGGGACGAGATGGGAATGATGTCTCACATCCCCGGAGCTGTTTATAAACCTTTTAGATAGGAACCGGTCTGAGGGATCAAAATATGGACATACTCCTAATAGAATGACCCTAGGTTCATTTTTATTGTAATGAATTTTTCAACCATCCTTGTTCGGTAATGTCTGAGTATGTGAGATAATTTTTTTAACCCTTCATGAGTTGATGTATCAGGTTTTTCTTATGAGAATAGTCTCTAGAACACCGTGGAATATATTGTATTTTTAATAAAACTATTTATTTTAATTAAGAAATTCAAATTAAAACTAGTGATTCGCTGTCTTAGAAATATAAAAAAGAAATCAAGGATTATTGTATGTGTCAATGAAATTTATACTGGAATCATATCTTCAAGAAGTAAATTTTATGAACGATATTTTCAGACAAAAATATATTTCAAAACTTTTTACCTTTTTAATTTTTTTTTCGTATAATCACTTTACGAAAAGTATTATTTTCGAGTTCTAAAGATTTTGTAGTGTATAAAACCCTTAATAAGTAATTATTGGATTGCAGTTGATTATTAGTTCTCTTTGAAAGTAAATAATCTTTGTAGTTTATTTATTATTTAAAATATTTTGTTTTCTTCTAAAAATGATACAAGTTGCAAAAAGGATAATTGGAGGTACTTATTTATAGTAAGAGAAATGTGAGTCACTTTTATTGTGTTTCCTTTCATACACTATTTTTGCCACTTGCCACACATTCCGAAAAAAACAGTTTTGATATGACGTCACATATTATATCTTTTCTAATACATGTTATTTGGTTGTTCAATTTTACTCTCTTAAGCATTATGATTGATGATGATTTAAGTAATATAACTCACTAACTGTCTTAATGGAAAAGATGGGTCAGTATAGTTAAAAAGGATAACTTTGATCAGAAATTTAACTTAATTTTACTAGTAGGATTAAGATTTACTTGTTTTTTTATTATTTTCAAATCAGTGGAAATGATTTTCAACAAATTCAAAAATTTATATACTTACTAGCGAAATACCTTAAACGTTTTTCGTAACTCATGATAAACGCATATCATGATATACATAAACAATGAAAATCTTACTTGAATTTCTTTATTTTAAATTTTTTTAAACGTTTTTTGTCAACATAAGGCTTGTAAAGTATTCAGCATCATATAAAATCTTATTGCTAAGTGGCTGAATAAAAGTCTCATAATTTCTAATTCGATTACAACATGTAGATAACTTTACATATAAGTAAGGAATAATGCAGTAGTTACATTTTAAAGGAAACCATTTTAAGGATACACTACAAGTAAGAGCAGCTGAGTATATTTTATTAAAAAAATATATATTTATATATAAATAATAGGTTTCGTTCTTTGGTCGTAAATGGCAAGTTTCGGAATGTTCCCATGCAAGCCACCTATCCCATGGATGATTGCAAAAAGATGCGCCATCTGCCTTTACCGGTTTTAATACTCCCGGTGTTTGAGTTCTTTATTTTTATCTATTTTTAAACTTAATACCAAGTAAAAGACTATTCTTTTGTGAAATGGCATGTATAGACTTAAATAAAGAACATCTAGAACTGATTTAAAATTATCAGTACATATATACATGTATTTATTTAAAATGGGTGGGATAAACAGAAGTTTATTAACTGTAATAGAAGTTCATTAGAAGAGATCAAATATCTAAGATATCCAAAGTACCCTTTAATTTCATTTGGAACTTTTTAGTTATAATATAATAGAAGTATAATGTTTGTATGTATGCTTTCTTTATTTATTCCAAATATATTTTTATCGGCTCAACTTCAAACGAATGTCGCATCTGAGATGTAAAAATTTTAATCTAGGGTAATGATAAAAAATTCTAGCACTTATGTCGTTAGACTTCAACCCGACTGACAGAATATAAATAGATACAGCTTTTTAATCTCAGTCTACAGGGTTGCCAACCTTAAATTAAAAAGTTTAATTACTGGCTAAGTGCACTTAAAGGATGCCATACGCTTTAAAACTTTTATGTGCGCTCTTGGAAAAAATGCTAATAATCTCATAGTTTTATGTAATGTATGTTGATTTTAGCTCCTCGGCTTTCCAACATCACCCGGAGAGTGGGGCAGTGCTAAGACTGGTACGTTGTGAAGGGGCTTATATGGTAGGTACGTTCTGAGGGCGACTGTTAAAAGTGAAGCTGTTAAAAGAGAGAACCACGAACTAAGGTCATAGTGGATGAAAGACGAATTGCCAGTCTCGGCCTCCGACGCCCTCTCGCTCGCGACGGCGAGAGATCTCATATCTTGTACATTTTGAAACGGAAAATAAAATTAAAATTTCAGATGCCTTTTAGTTGTATATAGCAATGGTTACGGCCTGTGTATTTGCGTTTTATATTCCCGTAGGAACTTACAAATAGGAACTGTTTTATTTATTGAATTTTATTCTTGTTATTACTTTTATTTACACTAACATGGTTTGGACCTAAGTACAAAGTCAGAACTTCTGTGATCTTTTAGCAACTTTCCCAACTAAAGCTGTTATCCCTTACACAAATTATTTTTTTTAATTATTTATCTAGCCATTTGATGGGGAACTGATATTTGTTAATTTTCAAAATAAAAGATATATGCAGTTGTTTTAAATTTTGTAACAGCACACATTAATTTATCAACTTTGTCTCTTATAATTAAGTAAAGAAAAGGAGAAAATTGTCCATGTGTTATACTTATATATTATGTTTTATACATAGTGATTTTGTTGACTGTTACTGAAATATAACAGATAAGTTATTAATAGTTCTGTAAAAACTATAAAATCTGAGAAGTAGAATACGTTAAACATGAATATGCCTTGTGTAGTATGTACATAGTTAAATTTTTATTCATGGCGTTTGATTTAGATTCAAATAGCAATTTTCTTCAACTTCACTTCTTTTTAGCTCAATTTAAATTTAAAAATCTTTTTTCCTACATTACAAATAGATTTATTTCTATTTTTATTTAGACATGAAATTAAACGGTAAAATAATGAAGATGCTCTTTCTGTACTCTTTGTTTAGTTTACCTTTAATACGTTTATTGCTCACAATTAATAGAAAACTGACAGTATAGTTTTATATACAGATTTCATGCGTTTAATGCATGACGTACCTCAAAATACAAGTGTTACTAAACGGTGTAACTAGTTGAACTAGCCAGTTAGCCAGCGAGTTAGCTAGCTAACCAGTTAACGATATGGCATAAGATTCGCCTATGATATTCAAATCGTTACTTTTAATGCAGTGATCTTTACAGGCAAATGTTAATGTCAGTTTTTTAAATTTAAATAATCGCTTTTTTAAAGTATATTAATTTGCATTCAGTTATTTTAACGATTTTAGACTGTCTGTCTTTTTCGTCCGGCTAATCTCTGAAACAGGTATACCGATTTTAGCGGAAGTTTCTCGGTCAGTTATATGCTATTACGAAGAGTATCTTTGGTTATTTTTAATATTATAGTAATTTTTGTTTTATTTATTTATATAAATTACAAATAATATATTTTAATACAAATAAGTCCTGGATAAGTTTCAAGTTATCGTTATTATATGGTCACAAGCAATCATATGTTGTGATATGTCCAGAACATAAATTATCGTAAATAAAGGTGCGAATATTGAAAATGAGAGTTGAAAATGTATGCGACTAGTCTATCAAATGCTTAAACAGCATCTGTGGTTTGGTTTTAAATAGTTTTGTTTATTAGAGAGATTTTTCGTAAATTATATAATATAAAGGGAAAACAATAGTGGATATAAGAAAAATTGTACCGTCCATAGCAAAGATATGTTTGTGTTACAGCTAATAAAATAGTCAGCATCTCTTTGCCTATTATAATTAGTTAAACTAGGTCGTAAATAATTTCATGTGTCTTAAAAAAGTTTTAAGGAATATTATCATATTTAATTTATTCATATTTATTTAAATTTATTTTCAAGAAAAAAAAAATGCTAGCATCAACGACAAATATATTTTTAAAATATTTTGTGATTTCATGTCCTAAAAATAAACTTCTAAAAATATGTCGATCATATTTTAAACTTTGAGTGTATTGTCAAATGTGATTTTATGTTAATGTATGTACATTGCTTGGAAGAGTGTTAACAAAAACAGCGGGTTTGTGTAACTAAAATATTCTCGTTATTTAATTTACTAGGGTAAGAACACATTTTTACAGAATGTTAATCTTCTAAATATTATCTACAAAAAATTGTACACCATCTGAAAGCTTATGGAATACTTTTTTTATTAAATTTACAATTAACAGAGAAAACCAATATTCATGTTCAACAAAATTAAGTTAACTTTCCTCGTTAGCTTATAACTAATTATTTACATTATATTCTAAAAAGTCATGTTTAGACAGTATAGTTAATATTGAAAATGTCAAAGTACCAAGTGCTTCTTATTAAAGATGACCTCAATTTGTAAATATTTTTAAATTTTGTATTAAGAAAAGTGTAAGTTAGCTTTTATATTTGTATAATGTACTCTTTGCTGTTTGATATTCAGCGTTTAAGAAACACTTGATGAGTAAATTATTGCATTGCAGCATAAGGCATGTCCGACACTTCGGAATATCACAACAATCTTACATACTATACAAGTATTACAAAGATATTAAAAAATATAGATAATAATTTGTTCAAGAAATCGATTTACGTATTAACGGCAGTTGGTTCTATGGACGATTTTGTCATGAATATCTTAGATCTAACTATTTACAAATAAGAAATCGAAAATATGGAAAACGCAATGGAAGACGGCGCTCTCGCTGCTCCTATATAATACAAAAACGGACATTTATCACATACGTTAACTATTGAATCGAAATCACAATTCTTAATATTAAGTTGTTCCCCAATTATATAAACACGTCTATAAAAACAAAACACGTAAAATAAATATATCAGGTATAACGATAGGTAACGATCAAAAGGATATTATTAAAGCGATTAGACAAATTGTCTGTCAATTATTCTAAGTTTTGAACAATTTTCTGGTAACTTTAGTTTTACTTGAGTTGAAACTCATTACGAACATTAAAATATAATATTGCCTGAACACAGCAAATTTTTTTTTAGAAAAATGAGTATTACGAATGCTACATTAAATTTTATTATAACATTTTAATATTGCTTTCACACAATTTTGGGGCATTCTCTTGGCTATTGTGAATTTAGAATTGGAAAAAAGTACGACTGAAAAACGAAATTACAAAAGTTTTATGAAACATCAAACATAAAGTAACTAAGATATCAGATTAACATTAACTGGCCACAATACTAGCATGCTTGAAGAAAAGCTTAAAGATTTTAAAACAAAGCCTATGATAATACTAATAAAGTAAAAAAATAAAAATATTCAAGCTCGCGTTTAAGATTTTAGTGGAATTACGAAAGTATTTAAGAAGAAATATACTACCAAAGAAAATAAAAATTACAATAGTGAGATTATTAAAATGGTACCTTAACACGTTAAATTTAATAAATCGAAATCATTTCAGGTCCCTATAATTTCTCTTAAATGTATACACCAAAACAACGTCACTACAAATCTTTGGTGTTCATCCACATTGAAAATAAATCGGCACGAATATATTGAAGGCAAATTAATATTACGAACACATTTTTTCTAACTTTTAAAGTTACGTTAAACTAAAATGAGATTTAAAATGTCTGAAAAGCTGCGAAATAACAAGTCAGATTGCTATTGGAACAAAGTATTTAAATTGTCTCATATAAAAGAAAACAATAATAATATTACTAGTACAATGGTTTATTATTCATTAAAATCTCCGATGACATTATGGGCTGATAGAAAATATATTTGTTTGTACGACTCGAAGCAAGTGAATGAACAATTCAGTTATCATTTTGATTCTTAGTTCCAATTCTGACTAGATTCATTGACTGTATATTTTTTACAATTCTCTTAAGTCAATGATATTAAACCGCGTCACCGGTAGATCACGTAACACTGATTTAAATTAGGAGGTAGTTCGTGTGACGTTCCTATGTTTAAGGCTGTACAAAATTCGCAACTTTTCAGTTTGACATCTAGTTACTATGCTTAAGGAATTAATGTGTCGGTGGCTTTTAAATAATATTTATGCTAATGAAAATACATTTTCAAATAAATACTATCTCGGAAGTTATTGGTCCCGGATTATAATTTTTAAACAAATTATAACAATTTGGACCCATACGGCAAAATGATTTTAATATTATAAATTTACATCACACTCGCAGTTACCTCCTTCTGCGAATGTCTCATTAGAATCGCTCTGCGATTAAACATGTCTTAAATCTAGCACTTAATGTAATATTATATCCATTTTAAACACATATCACAATTGAGCTCGCAAAGCGAGATAATTTTCAGAGTCCAATAAAACGCGACCGCGCGCGTTAACAAGGCATGCGTCAATCATGTAAATTTTTACTGAGTAGTAAACTGTTGTGTGGTCCGGAGAGATGCCTTATTAGTTCTGGCATCGCCTCAAATGTTAGCTGACAGAAACAGCAGTTAAACCGTCCAGGAGTATTTGTTCGTCCGTCATTTTCGCTTGACGATATGACATTCCGATGTACTGAACACAAATGTTTCAACAAATGGGCCTTTTGTTTAAACATTGCAACACATAGTCTACATGCAAATGGTTTTTCGCCTGTATGAACTCTTAGATGAGTCTTGAGATTCCATGACATGCCGAATTGTTTACCACAGTATTCACAGCGATATTCTCTTACTGGAGCTTGTTTACTTGAACCCTGTTCGTGTTCAGTGGATGGCGTGTCGTCTCCGCCTATTTGTGGTTGACAAAGCCAAGGTCCCCAAGGTCCTGCGCTCGGAGGCCGATACTTAAGTGCATCCTCATGTGGTACTGCGGGAGGAGTAGCGCTTCTTTCAGGTAAAAATGGAGGTGCAGAAACACTAAGTGAATGTAAGCCTCCAAGTCGAGCTACTCCTGCCGCTACCCCTTGACCTTGTGCGTAACGTAATTGGGCCATTTCATCAAGATAGCTTGGTGCAAACGAGACAAAGGGAGGATTCTGTGAAGGTGAGTTATGAAAACCAGGTCTTCTTTTCCGGTGAGGTGTGACAACGTAGTTCTCAGGAGAAGTTTGAACGAGGGCCATTAATTCGTTTTCTGTTGATTTCAAGTGTGCATAATCTTCTAATTTTACTGTTCTCAGGTCCAGTTCGGAAGGCTCTAAATAATGTGATTTTCGTTTTGCTCTCTCAATGCCTCTTCCTAATCTGTCACTCAGCAACTGTCTTCTATATACGTTTTCTTGTGGTTGATCGTCTTGACTTGAAGATGTTGACCGTCTCCGCCCAATATTCTGAAAATATCAAATATTTATTGTATTATAATACTTATAAAATATAATGATTATCAATCGTAATTTGAAATTACCTTTATTCCAACTGTTTCCACATCCAAGTCTTGTGAGTCGTCGTGTTCACTATTTGTGTTTTCCGAATTTCTGGCTAAAGATAAATTGACCGGATTTGATGAACTTCTACGACGCGAGGATACTCTTCCACATTCTTTATCACCCTTATCACCATCATGGTCATCGTCTTCCCGTTCGTCATTGCTACTCGTTGACATATTTTCCTTCTTTATACTAAGAGCCTCAGAATCTCCTCTATCTTTATCTTTACTATAGCCTGCCCCTGGTGTAACTCTTTCACTTTCTGAGTGGGAGGATCCTGATGGTGCGTCATGTTTACTACTTTCGTTGCTGTTGATGTCCGTTTTAAGGTTTTTTCCTTTGAGCCTCTCGCAAGATCTGTTTCTTTCTTCTGCTTGTTGTCTTTCTTTAGTTGATTTCCACACGTCTGACTTTATTTCTAGCAGCTCAAACAGTTCTTGCATGTCATCTATTTCACCAGACTGAAATGAATTAACAAGGATTACAGTGAGCAATGAAACTATACTGTATATATTAAACTTGTTTCGTATTTCTTATAATTTTACCTCTATGTATGCTTGGCCACTGTATAAGAAAACCAAGAGATGTCGCATGAGAGTGCTGCTAATGCCAGACATGTGAATTGTGACTGGGTTCTCAATCGACGGGGTATCATCGAGGATTTTTCTGCAATTAGTAAGAAATGTTTCATTATAATAACAAACCATTAATACATACATATGCATGGGTATTTGTTAGGTTAGGTATGTTATTTTTAGGTGTGTTATTAATATTCGAACCTTATTAACGGGCTAGCTGCCGCCATGACGATGCGGTGTGCGGCAAGTGGTACAGCGTCGTCACACACCAGTACCAGGTCGGAGTAACGAGCTCCGCGCCACGCCGCTCCTACCTCGTTCAGGATGCAGGCGTGGTGCTTGCCGTACGTGAGTGTCAGCAGGCCCTCGCCCATCATTCCAGCACTGATAACAAAAATTAATAAGTTTTACCATACTGATATAATCATTTTCTAGGATAACAATTCTGTCCGTTCATAAATTCATCATTAGAGAGGATATAAGATAATAACGTATAGTGAAATAAAACTCCGTTCTCAATAATAGTTCAAATCCTGGCGTGCTTCTAATGTGTTGCATAGTTGATTCGTGAGATTAAACAATTTCTAACACGATACTATACACAAAGTGAAATCATACCAAAATTGAGGCTCGCCATAATGTTTTCGGTTCATTAGTCTCAATCTATGTCAGACTGAAAACCGCCGATACAAAGACAGACAAGGTTGCAACCAGCGAACTGTTAAGCGATAAACGTTACAATATCATCGCAATTCGAGAACCAAATAGAACATATTCGTTTAAAAATGAATGATTTGTGGAGATGTAACACAATGGCCATTGAAATTTCTCAATCGACTAGAAAGGTCAAAAGGTGGTTTGCATTTAAATGAACTGAGTTAATGTGTTCTTTTGCCATCTGGGTTCTAGTGGCAAGTGCTAGAAAGCTTTGCGCAATTGGACCTTGGCCTGATAAAGTATCGCAACGAGTTATTATCGTTGTAACGTAAGATCGTTTAAAAGACGATCAACAGGCGCCTCTTAGTATAGCGGCGTTTAGTAAGAGCGTAGTCAAAAGTAATGCTTGTTATTCCTTATCTATGTATTTTTTTCACCATTTCCAGTATTTGGAAGAAGTAAACTAAGTGTAATAATTATCCCAACATACTAATAAATAAATAAATTGTAAACAAGAGAATTTATAGATTTATTACCAGTTTCAAGATAAAATATGTTAAATCTTTAAGAGAGATAAATGAAACTGTCAAGCATTGTGATATTTTCAGGACAGCGCAAGCGCAGCGGTGCGAGTCTGGCTCGCCTGCCATTGTTTGTGTGAAGCGAAACGTGTCCGTGAAGCCCAACCAGTACCAACAGGGTTGTTTGATATTACAAGTTAACTTCAAATTTATATGGTTAAGAGAAATCCTTAAACTATTTATAACAATAAAAATTCAAAATATGTATATGCAACTAGACTCAAATATAGCGTCTCTTGCCAATTTCAATGATATCATGGACCTTTCTCATCATAAAATAATAATAAGTCCTTTTATAAAATACGTATAATAAATTATAGTGTGTTTGTATTTGATAAATCTTTAAAGTTTTTACAAAAGTTACTATGTACTTGGAAATAGGTTTAACAGTTTTATATGAATACGGAGTATACAAAGAGCACTCTAGTGGTAATCTTTGGTGTTAAATAGACTTTCACTTGTGTTTGCTAGCGATCAAAGCCGGTAAAAGTTTTCTTGCGACGCTAATAGATGGCGCTATGACCACTTTATAAAAGTATACATCAACGTCTTTAATGCTTCTAGATTAACCTTTCTTATAAAATATAAGAAAAAGACCTTGGTAATTCACTTTCACTGGTGCGTTATAGTAAACAGAATCGCGGAAATATAATAATATTACAATAGTAAAAAAATATTTTTTTGGTAATAAACACAATATATTATTTATGTATAAGAACAAAAATGTTGTTAACAAAAAGTAAACTGGTTGATATCATACTCCTATATATGTGTGTTTTCATGTAAATTCCCTAACGTTTTTGAATATGAAAATAAATGTAGTGTGTTTCATAATCTTAACTGTTAATAGCGCTTTAAACCGGTTCCCATAAGGAATCAGATAAGTGATAAATAATGTATATATAAGCAAATTAAATTCAAACAACTAGATCATATGAAAATTTAAACAGGAAGTACGTCGGTTATGTTAACAAGAAGTAATAAAAATATCTCAATACAAGAATCAAGTGTACAATTGAAGGCCAAATTAAAAACAGACATGTTACATAATTCTACCCACAATAATTAAACGCCCTAGAATGGACAAGTCGCATTATTTCGCTTGAGGTGTTTACACACTACAATATTATTCAACTTATTATATTATTTCAGTTCTACGAGTACTGTCCTTTCAATTTATTGTAAACTGTACTTTCACTTCAGATAATACTTTTCTAAATAATACATTTCAGTCGATATAAATACACTTAAGTAGTGAATGTAAAGTAAGTTTTTCTATCGTCTTGTGTACAGTCCTTTATAAAGAATCCAGATCATATTGCCCGCAAAGGAATATGAGATCCTATAGCTTTATAAGGATGGATCTCATCAGAGAATAGTAGCGCCATAAATCGATTTTAATTGTTTATGATTTGAATTCAAACAAGTCAATGTTACAGTTATGGCGTACTTATTAAAGAACAAACAGATTTTTATTTCAATTTAAATTAATTATAAGTCTACAAATTGACGTTCGAAGTTGAAATCTGTAACTTTCATATTTAATTTAAGCTCCGGTTAAGTGAATGCCAGTCTATCTATGATATTCTATTTGCCAAAATAATAAATATCATTAAAATGGGCTCAAATGACATGAATTACAAATGCTAAAGGTTGAAATGTAAGAGAATATATTGAATTAAGTTTAATGATTTGAATATAGAATAAGGTAAAAAGGACGTGCTCTGTATATATTTAGAAGGCATTTCTTTGTAATTGTATGCTAAAAACTTGGCAAATACTAGACTTAAGAAATTAACATACAACGCTCAAAAATAATTTAAATATTATACATTGTAATTACATATGTATCATTGATGTGCCAAATGCTATATTAAATAAGTTTATTTAAAAATAAAAACTCAGCTCAGCAAGATTCAGCTGAATAATTAAAAAACATTTTAAATCAACCCGATTCTGTCCAATTAATTACAGGTAACTGGAAATTAATAAAAAATATATAATATTGAAGTATAATATTGAAGTAAAATAAAAGAAAAAGTTGTTTAAAATTAATTGAAGAAAACAATAAGTAACAAGATAGCCGTTTTACGAAACTGTGTTGTAAACTGTGAATTGTAGACTTTAGGCTACTGGAGCGTGAGATTGGGAAAAAGTTGCCACTTTCATCTACATTGCTAAAGATATTACGAAAAAGCGATGGCTAACAAGCAGCTGTTTAAATTAATTATCTATTGATAAATTATAAAGACATTATTCGTAATTGAATGGCTTATTGATACAATGGCATAAAGTATTTTACATCAATTCATAAGTTTTTTATATGAACTCGTAGTTTTGCTAAAAAAATACAGTATGTTTTGGCGTAAGTTTTAATGATTGTTGCGTAAAATTTTAACAAGTTATATTTTATTCAAATCTAAATCGTGTTAAAAATGTTCAAAATGAAATGTAATCTCATCAGCGGATGTTGAAAATTAATCCTACACACTATTTATCACGATTTCGCAACATTTATTTATTGCCTACATCCTATCATCGTTTTATAAATGTGAAAGTTTAAATGAATATTTCTTATTACAACATATTTATGTGAAATTTTCTAATATTACTTTATTGCAGTGTGTTTTACGTTACATGGAAAGTGTTAGAAACTTTAGACTGTAATGACCTTATTTGAGTCGCAGTGTATTTGCTTTAACTCTTGACAATTTGGAATTATGATTAAGTCATAATAAACTCTTAATATGCTACTATGAGCGCACGTTAGTTTAAATTAGGACATCGAGAAGTGACTTAACAATTAAATTGTCTGATATCTAGTTCTCAGTATGCTCCGATGAGTTACTATGCGAGGTTATCTGTCATTTGGGTGCATATCCCACAAGCCGATCTCACATGCGACATTTTCATGCTCCATTTACAATACTGAAATTATCGATTAAATTGAATTGCCCGCTTCTATTTTAACGCTACATCTGTCTATGAAATCTGCCACGGAGATTAGACGTATTCACGCCTGGTGCATGTAAGATACCTATTATTGTCTGGATATTATTTCCGAGCTTTAACACATTTGTAATAATAAGGAAATTTCGAGGCGTGAGATCGGTAGTAATAATTCCGGTAACATTATATCAATGACGATTGTACAACAGTACTTAGCAACAGCCAGACCCCTTTACAAGCTTCTAACAGCCGCGCAAAGTATTACAGAAAACGATAGTGATGTAAGTCGATAGTTGTCAAACAGGAAATCGCGAGGCGCGCGTGTCGGGCGATACGCCACACGCTTTGTGACGGCGGCCTTCGGACGAAATGCTTAGTGCCAGTACCGAGCATCACCACATACAATCCATTATGTAACGCATATTCAACAACAAATGACAGTTCATTCATGAGTTCCATGGTCAATTTAGTAATTTGTGGTGCATCATCACTCATCTCCTTGGGATCCCTTAAACAATTAAAGTTTATAAAGATATCCTTGTATCAATCCACAATGTTTGTTTGTATTGTCTACTATAAACTACGTACTAATATGAACTCGCTTTTTGGGAGCGATAGCGTTATCAGCGCTAATTTCTTTTACGTAGCAAAACAAGGAACTGTCTGAAAATATTATGTTAATCAATGTCGCCATGTGTCGCTAAAGATCATTGTCATTACGATATGTTTCTTACGTTATCTCAATTGCCACTGATTAATGAATGAAACGATGTCTAACATAAATAAATATATTTTATTCAAATTCATATCGTTAACCTATTTTTATTCAAGATGAGAGATCACCACGAGGAAGTTATGTACGAATTAATAAAAGCTTATTATGGACTTCGGACGGACTCGGCCATTAAGATGACAAAACATAAAGTATTTAATTATTATGGTGCAAAATAAAATACAATGGCATGTGAAGATATGGAAAATGTTTGTAAGAGTTTTAGTATCGCATTAGACTATACTGCATAGGAGTGGTACAAACATAAAGTCAACGATGTTTCGATGTAAACAATGCGGTTATTGACTGACACTTAGCAGCTGTAGCTAGCAGTATACCACAAAACATTCCATTAGTTGAATTGTATTCAAATACGAGCACACACTTCCATCCACCAGAATTAGAAGAGGCCATGCCCAAACAAA